GTACAGTGGGGTAAACATTCACACGTTCTTTTGACATCTATATCATTACAATCTGTATCTAATTGATTGGTATGTTTAGTGTATTTCAACCAAATTTAGGGGAAGTTTCATTGGTACTTTTTCCATCACATAATCAAAAAATCTGATCGAAAAAAGATTTAGTATACTAATTACTCCATTGAATCAGATTTATCCATTTATCAGTATGTTCTAAATAAGTAGTTTTAACTGTTATATTTTAAGATTCACAATTCAAACATGCTGCGACTGTCTTCAATTGTTTTTAACATAAGTTTAAGCGCAACAAAATGAAGTCAACGCGCACGATACTTGTAACGAAAAAAAAAACATTTTCAGTTGATTATGTTCATTTGGTTTTTATTGGCGTAGTCACGAGTATTTTCTGTAAGATAAAAAAAATTATATTTCGAATAGGAACCACCGCGTTGCAAATTTATGCAATCGCTCCATAGACAAATGCCACCAAACAATATAAAAAATGATATATACGAGCGGGTTTTTTGTTGATAAAGTATGTATTTGCATTCAAACATACTTTTTTACAGAAGACATGTTGCAACGATTAATTATGTACTAGCATTTTTTTCTCTTTATTTCACATTTTATTCAACTCTTTTTAATTGCAAATCTCTCACTTATTGTTCACCGTTAACTGTAATAATTTTGGTGAATGCTTGCATGTATAATATCTGCCATTATTTCCGACTTAAATACTATGTTTCTCAATTTAACCGGTCCCATCAATGTTTAGTTTTTCTTCTTCTTAAATTAAATTGACACATTGTCATAATAAACATAAGTTGACTGTCTTTGAACTCATTTATGGACATTTCGATTGCAATGCAAATTTATTCTAAAACTACGATCAATTAAGTAGATTAGTTTATTAGTTTTGCATAAAATTGATTCGAGTCATCGTCATCATCATCATTATCTGATTCATGGTCTTGGACAAAATTGGCAATACTAAGGTTTACTATTGCGTGCTTCAATGAATTTAATCAAAATCAAAATTCAATCTTAAGATAAAAAAAAAAACAATTTGCAAATGATCCTCGATCAAATAACACACATAATTTACTGAATGACTTCACACAAAATATAGTATTCAATTACTTCGTTCCAAATTTAGTTAACTTTTTATTTGCATTTTGACAAGTTGGAATAGTAGCTCCAATTTTTTTCTTTCGTATAAAAAAATCGGAATTCATAGTTTAATGAGGGGTCTGCTCGAAGAAAAAAAATTGAAGCAAATTGCATGTCGTTGAAAAACCGGTCGTACAGTTTCAATTATCGATTTTTTAAGTGCTCGATATTTGGCACGCTTTAATTAGCATTCTTTCAACTTATTGAAATATGGACATTTCAAGAACACACTGTTTACTTACCAAAACCATCGCTTGTCTTTACTTTCTTTAGTCAGACACAGCATAAGACTTATACAGAGAACTACACATCGACAGCTCTGCATAAACATTTCAAAGGTATTTCATTTATTTTTAAATAAAAGTGTTTTTCAATTTTCGATATAAAAATTATGGCCATTCTATAGTTATAATGTTAAAAAAGTAGTCTTCTAATCGATTCATAAACTTGGAAATGTACACGCCAATCATTTTTTACCATTTTTTTCGCGTTCTATGCAACTGCTTGACACAATTAACAGTAAAAAGACAAGAACCCAATTTAGTTCAATAGTTATAACAATGGCGTGCAGACACATCGAACATTTAAATGCGTATTGTGTTTTTTTCGTTCCGCGATGAGTCCGGGCGGTAATTGAAAATGGGTCAAGATTCAGAAAAAAATCTAATTGCTATCGATTTTTTATTCTTCTTAATTCGTCACTGTTTATAGCATTTCTGTTATGGTCGATGAACAAAGCCGATAATTTCAAGATGGTCAATGACACCGTTAAAAGGCAGAAAATCGAAAGCTACATATCGTTTACGTAGTTTGTGTGCATCATTATAGACTTTACAATGGCTAAGAGAGCAGAAAAAGGCACCCGTGACTGTGTCTGAGCTTTGCATAATGGGCAATTCGTTGAACGAGGTTTTCAGCGCGTAAATGCACATTTTTCACAACATAAGAAACCAGATTCTGACTATAAGAATCTTTTTTTTTTAAGACACAATTGTGTTTAAACTTTCAATTGCAACTTTCCCCTTTACAACGTGCCGAAATGAAACATAAAGATAAATAACTATTACGAAAAAAATAACTCCATTTTTAGAAAAGAAAAAAAAAAAAGGAATACTTTAATACGGGAATGGATTTTGAAATGTCAAGCGGAAAAAATGAGAGAATAAAAAATAAATAAAAAATTGATTACAAATTGAAAATCGTGTCGACTCATCATTATGATTTGTTTTTTTTTTCTTCTCACAACATAATTGATACCAACTCAATGGACGAGGATTATGCAAATCACAATGGCACAGTTAAACGGACACTTGAGCTCCAGAAATCGATTGCTTTTTGGGACTAATTGTTTATTATTTTGTTTTTAATTGTGATATTCTTTCTTTTTATTCGCTTCTTCGGACAATGTTTACTTTTTTTCTTTGATTTGTATTCAATATTAGATATGAGTGATAGCCTTATTCAGTTTGCATTTAAGAATCAGCGATTGATTTGATTTTCAACAGTCGACCGAGCATTGGATAAGTTATATAGTCATGTGATTATCTATATTCGTTGTAAATTAATAGCATGCAAAAAAAAATGTACAGGTACACTTCTGCTCGGTCAATGCCTACGGCCAACGCATACATTACGACGTACGAATGATACCTGTTTTATAATATTTACAGTTATTTCATGCACACGAACAACCAGCACATTTAACACACACGTTTTAAACGCTTTGTTAATTTCTTTATCGTTAATATGAAGACAATGCTAGAGGTCATTTATTCCTATGTGTTTTATACTTTTGGTTTTTCATCTTATTAATTGTTAAAACCAATAAAAAGGGCGTTAATTTTTCTGTGAATTGCAATCGAAAAAGAATCGATTGAATGCAACCAAATCTAAAATTGAATTGAAACCAATTTGATTCACATTTGCTACTAGAATATTAACCATTCGCATGCATGTTTATTAATTTTTACGTCATTTAGTTTGAGACGTAATTATCTACTGAGGTCCCCATGAAAAATTCAAACTTTTCTCACGTTTCTCAAGTTATGAACACAAAATTGCAGCATGTTAAAAAATGGTTAAAACATTCTGATCTTGTTCATGACGTCACCACTTTTTTTTTAAGTAAATGAACGGTTTAATATCGAATTTAAAAGTAATTAAGTGTCGATGCCAACAATAGAAAGTTTACTTAATTTATAAGGTGAAAAATAACAAAAAGTTAATAAAAATTCCGAAGAACGAATGCAATAAAATAAATGGATTTATATTAAATCTAGTTGTGAAGGTTATTGTTGAGAATTAAAACGGGTTTTACTTTGATTGGTACTTAGTTTATTATAAATTGAGGCATACAAATGACACGCTTTCAATGTGAATGATTTTGGAACTTTTTTTAGACTTTATCTTTTGTGATATTTTGAATATGAATAAAGATGCGAAAATAGCATTTGGTAAACTGATTCAATGAAACATGCTTCAATCAAAATGTCAATTGCAAATGGGGAAAACGAAAATGACAATTATTAAATTTTCGGAAAATCCTATCTATAATACAAAAGGTCAATCTACTGTCATCGATTTTAATGACGACATTTTCTACATTAGTTTGTTGATGTGAATGTCATTTTTTTTTCTTCAAAAAATAAAATAAAAAGTCATACACACATACTATTGGTTTTAGTTTTAATCATTAGATTAATTGTCGTGAGAAAATTTGGTAGTAGCACACTGTAAAAGTTACGCCTGTTCATAACATGTACTAGTATTTATAGTAGCAAAAAAGAACATTGGCTGATTTAAGATCTTTAAAATTTACTTTGATTGAGAAAAAAAATTCGGGGCTTTGGCATTGGATTATGTTTACAATAAACAGTTATCGATCGAATAATGTTTCATGACATTTAATTTTGTACTTAAAAGATCTTTAGAAGACAAGATATTTTAAGGAGAATTGATATAATTTATCTAAAGGTGGGTATAGCATGCAAAAAATAGAGAGAAATGTAGGTGAATCTTCATAGTTTTAAGGCGAAACTACAACACAAAACAAAAAATTAAATATCAGTTTTAATGAAAATGAGATAATCTGTTACTCTCTTCATCTTTCTTCCGTTGTTGCTTTTTTATTATTTTCTAATCAAACGTATATAATAGAATGAATGTGTCTTCAAATATGAATAATATTCACACGTTATCGCATGAGGAAATTCAATGTTTTTTATTTTTTTCTATCTGAGTAGCTCCTCAATTCTCTTAATTTGCGCGCAAGCATGCTTATTTTCATTGCTCACCACATGATCGAAATGAAATGAGTTAGAGAGCGAGAGTGAAAAAAATATGAATAGAAAAACGAAACATGAAAACGAAGGAAATAGGTAATCGCTTACATCGTTTCTGTTAGTTAGCTCGATTTTGAAATAAACCGCACATCATATGCTTGTGGTTTTTTGTTGTTTTTGTTGTTGTCTTTTTGCATGGAATAAATTTCTTGATAAGACTACAATGTGCGTCTATAATTCAATCAATGTTTTGGCACTTGTATCCGTCATGAACCATTTTGGACGAATCGAAATGAGATTTCAATACAATCAAATTAGAGAGAAAGAGGAGGTAGGAGAATCTATTAATTTTTCCAAAATTGTACACCAATTTTTCGTTGCTTTTTTCACACGTCGATGTCAATGCAGTGTTTTGATGAACGATGCTCTTTTCGTCATCAAACATTCTCTTTTTATAAAACACTGTTTCAAATCAAATTAATTTGAAATATTCCGTTAAAGTACACATAAAACTAACGGTCAAAAACCAAATACAGATAATTTAAAACTTACTTTTTCTGATTTTTGAAAAATAAAATTCAGATTTCAATTTTAGAAATATTTTGATGATATTTGATCCACTTTGGTTTATTTAGTTATTCACACCAATTCACAATTTTAAACTTCTACTTAGAATTATTTCCAAGAATTTCTGGTTAATTTGTCAGATTGTATTTACTTAAAACAAGAATTCCTTCTCGTTACAGTTATTTTTTCAATTAAACACTTTTAAACCGACACAATGCACCATAGATACTAACACAATCACAAATATATTTGCGAAAAAATTATCCACAACCGTAATAAAATAAATATATATTTATTTTATCATATGATTGACTGGTAATTCGCTATTTAATTTCACGAGAATTGAATTATCCGTGGATAATGAACCTGTGAATCGCGCGCCTCATCGATCATCAGTCAATGCAAAATGAAATGAAAATGGTCCGGTTTACCGTTAGCTCGATGGTTTTTATAGCCTTTCAAATATTCTTGAAAAAAAAAAACACATACACACAATTTATTCGTACGTTTTGGCGTAACGCAATCGAATCGGGACTAGTTTCGTGCTTTGCTTTGAACAAAGTTGCATACAAAATATGATTTTATCAGGTATACAAACGAAAGAAAATAATAATAAAATTGCATAAGTGTTTGTTTGAATTCGGTACTATTTGTACTTTTCCTTTATTCTGTACGTGCAGACAGACATACACTTATACACCATTTGTCCATAGTTGGTGGGATTCTTTCTGTGCCCCTCTACAAATAAAGCGGTAAAAGCGACTGCGACGCGCCACGCCACGCCGCGCCGTTGATCTCTCACAACACTCGAACATTTTCAAGTATAACAAGTGGTTACAGCTAACTATTCAAATCTGTGTAGTGTGTTGGCTGCCATTAACCCCCCGGAAGACCGGCACACCATTGCGCACCGGTGAAATGCGAAGTGATACAATGACTTGCAAGCCAATTGTATCAATTTGTATCAATCAAAAACCAATATTGGTATTCTTCAATTTTGTTGTCCATTATTTCTTTTTAAAAAACCAAACAAAACAAAAACACACTTATATTTTAATAGTCTCTTTGTCATAAAATGCACCAATATCTCTGTGTTATTGTGTTGAATTAGTCTTGAGATCATGTCTTCATCTTGATTAATTTTGTTTGGCTGCATCTTATGCCAATAATAATTACTTGTCATTATTCCATCGTGGCATTGAATGTGAGATCATCGATCGAATAATAAAAACATTAATGAAGAGTGAGAAAGTGTCGTGGTAGCACTTTCTTTTTTAAAAAAAAGAAGAAAAATGGCAAGAAAGAAAAAATATCGACGACATCGATACAATTGCCGATTAAACGGAGTCTTTAGTTTATCGCACAACGTTTGGGCAAAAATAATCAAAGCAATGGCATTTTTATCACAAATGAATAGTATCATCGAATATGCTATATGATAGAATGTATCAATACTTTTGATCATACTCTTGGCACGTCATCGCAACAATTTAATAACACTCTATTATTGTAAATCTACCAATAATGAACATTTTAGCTGAATCATATAAGGAATTTTGTAAGAAATACAGTAAAATACGTGAATAACGGAACGTCTCTGCAGTGGGATTCGTGTGGATAAGGGAAAAAATTGGACCAGATTCCGTTATTCACAGGTTTTACTGTAATAATATTTTTTTCGTTTGAATTGCTCATATACTGTCTGAATTCAAACTTCAAAAAAGAACCATGCTATCATGAAATTACGTTGAAGTTTTGGCTCAAACTAATAGTCTTTCAACATCATGTTGGCAATTATTTAGAGTACAAAAAAAATAAATATGAATTGCAATTACATTCAATAAAAACGCATAATTGTATATCGATTGTTTCATCTCGTGTGATGAAATTTATTGAATAGAGATAATCATAAGCTTGGTAAAAATTCGATTATAATATATTTTTGTTGTATTATTGTCATGTGTCTGTATCCTTGAGTTATGCGCATTACATATGTATCCATTAGATGTCCTTGCAATAGATCATTGGGTTTCTTGACGAATATAAAAAAAAAACGATGAAATTTGTGGTGAATAAATTGTTATGGCGTCTTTTTTCGGTGTACTTACTTTTCGGATGGCACATGGAATATGTTGCGGGGGACTCTTGTCAGTCGTGTTGTATCACAAATTAATTTGGCACCTGTGTAATTGTCCACAAATTGCTTGAAAATTGGATCATTCAAGTTCGAGTAAAAGTTTTTGTCACTGCAACGTGTATTTGTCAATTGTTCACCTGTGTAGAAAATAATAATATCAAACTTTAAGAAAATGAGCTGAATTCCAAATCGTAACCATGATATAGAGAAAGTTTTGGTTTTCTCTATTCGCGGCACCTTTTGATATCAATTTATACCATTTCAAACTCAAATTAGATCAACAAGATAAATAGCACTATTCAATTTGCTGAGACGTTTTGAAAATTATTAATTGAAAATTTTAAACGATAGATGATTGGTAACACCTGAATATGATTTATTTTTCCTTACTTCGCACATACTTACCAATGATGCATGAGAATGTTTCACCGATAGTTGCACCTGGTTTCGGCTGTTCTGCAATGGCACCCATAATCAAATCCACTTTATCGTAATCTGTATAAATTAACTTCAATCTCTCCAAATCCTAAAACAAAAAACACCAACCATATTCATTACAATACCAATTAAATGATACAACAACAAAAAATTAATTTCGTCACTTCGTAGCTCTTTTGATTTGTGGAATAATTTATAAAATACGTTTGTCACCATTAAAACCATTCGCATTAATTTTCATTACAAAATCGAACCAAAAGCAAAAATGGTAATCATAACATAATGACGTGCTGTTGAAATCATATTATATTAGCTCAATAATCATCATCGCAGTCGATTTCAACTCTTTTTTAAAGTTTTTTTTCAGTGAGAATTACTTTTTTTGCATTGTTTTTAATTTTGTCAATTCATTTGAAGTAGTTGGATTTATCTTTTTACTTCACTCTCTACAATATGTTTGAAACAACAAAACGTATATTAAACGGTATGTAATTTATAGAAAAAAGTCCAAAATAAATAATAGTATTTCAGCAGTTTTTCGTATTTTTTTGCTTAACAAAAAAAACATTGTCGATGATATTATGTGCATGTTGTACATGAAGATACCGATCGTTCTACTAACTGTTTTTTTTTTTTTTTTTTTTTTTGCATTTTACGATTACGTAAACTGAAACATATTATAATTCAATTAGTTCAATTAACTGCCTTTCTTCTTCATTATCCAAACGGTAGAGTTTTATATATACATACTTTATAGCAAATCGCACCGTGTATTTTTCTTTCTTTCTTTTTCGTTAGATTTTCAATTTACCTCGTTGTTTATGTATGACTTCAAATCCGTCCAGCTTTGAATGGTAGTTTTTGTGCATCGCTCCAAGTATTTTGTGTAGGTGCTCAAACCATGATCACGACCTCGTAGAATATCCAAAGCCAAAACGTCGGTGCCAACATCCTTTTGTTGATTGTTTTGGAATCGATAATAGTGTTTAGCAACCTATTAAGTAAAATTTAACAATCAAAACCGGAATTTGGACATGCTCGCCAATTAATCAAACACACATCTGCTACGTATCCAGTATCCATAGCCATTGCTTTCTGTTTCAAAATGGCATCGATGATGTTCTCCAATTCTTCGTCTTCGGCCAAATCTCTGGGTTTGTAATATTCTTCTTTCAATTTTAAAATATTTTCTCTATAAATTCCACAAAAGAGGTTCATTGAATGTTAAATTTGTGAAATTGTACGTTATCACAAAATAAAAGATGAAGAAAAAATTACTCAGTCATTGGTCGAATGATGATATTGTTTTGTCGAACAAAATAACTAACATCCTTTGTTGTTTTTAGATCGCCCGGCATCATTGAATAATAAAATCGAATGCCAGCCGTGGCAAATTCATTGCTGACTTTTCCATCATTGATGCAAGTTGTTGGATTTCTGTTGTTGATGGTGGCTGCTTCGCTTATACCAAGCACAATATTCAACCATTCGCTATACACAATTTTCTGATAAATGCCAACATTAATGCGTCGTGCATATGCAAACAGTTCAGTATCGTTCCATGTTGGATGCTCTTTTTGTAATTGTTTTGCAATGCGGTTGTGTGATCGCAAGAATAGTGTGTAGAGTGTGGTCACATATGGATTAACATTTACCCGTGAATCACCAGATTTATAGCATACTGTGTCAATGGTCGTATTGTGCATGCACAAATGATTGTCTTCGATGTCATCAATTTCAGGCAAAGTTGGACTCAACGGGTCGTTCGAAATTTTCAATTCACCGTTATAAAATGTACGCAATGTGTCGGTTATATCTTCGGCATTGCCGTACAATTGCGACAAATCCAAGTAATTTGATGCTTGATTGATCTTTTTGAATACAATGTAGAAGAATAGAAGAAACAAGAAGAAAAATAGAAAATCTAAATAAGACTGTTTAACTTTCATTTGTACATTTTGTGGCTCTGTTTTAAATATTAATAAATTTGCATGAAATTGATACGGATGTGGCTCATGTTGCAATATTGGTATTTGACAAAATGAAACAAAAAAAAAGTTTCTCTATTTATTTTAAAACAAATCCGTTCTCGTTCCATCACCATCATTATGTTGCCCAAATGAACGAAACTAATTTTCTCACTCTCGAAATATTTGTCGTCATGCATAGCTTGCTCTCACGGTCATGAACGATGTTCTCGTCTTCAATCCATATGTATAATTAAGAAAAAAAATTCCATTTGAATTCACCTGTTGTGCTGGCCCAAACGAACAATCTTCGTTTACATTAAGCGCACTGCGTACGTAATTCAAACATGAAGGTAATCGATTATAGTCTTCTCCACTCACATCCACCATAAGCGGTGAACATGCTGGATGTCGATAACGTGGCGGAGCATTTGTTGCATCGTCTTGACAACATTCAATTGGATTGCCATTACCTTCAGATTCCGATGGAGAAAAAGAAAATTTTAAAAATTAATCTTTTTGCTGTGTGAAATAAATGATTGTAACGCACTCATGATTTGAAAAACGGTTTTCACTAAGTCATGTTCTATGAACTGTGACCATTGTACTAGTGCAACGTTTCGTTCTTCGTCCACAACACCTTCGTAAGTCGCCGCTTCCTCATTGATTAAATCTACGTCCGGCCGCGTCAAATCAAAAAATGAATTGCTAATATTTTTTGGTGACGGCAAATCGAACATCTACATAATTTGGTATGAAATATTATATAAACGATTAAGAACCATATAAATACATACTTTTGACAATCCATCGGCATAGTGAGCTGGTAAAAGACGCCGATATGATTTTATGCTCATTGTTGTTTTATTTAATTGTTCGCATTGTTCAAGTAAGTCACACTTCGGTAGTTTATATGTTGATATAGCTTCAACGCATTTCTTATCATCTAAGCCAGCTCTGTGAAATTGAAAAAAATAGATAAATAACAATTCAATGCATGCATTTATTATAACGCACTTTTTACAATTGTTATTCAGCAAATATTTGCTCGCTTTAAGAACGATTTGAGCAATTTTATCGTATTCCTTCGTGTAATTGTTTGGTAAATTCTCCAAATATTGTGCATATGATGAGCTTGTATTAGATAGTTGAATCCGTGAATTTGATATACTTTCTTCCATGCTGCAAACATTTATAAATAAATACAATCATTTATCGCTTTTATATGGAGAAATATGTACTTCAACAAAAAAAAATTCGATTACGTTTTCAATTGGTTGTAGGAAAATTGAGCCAAATCAATGGCCTGCAATAGTTCCGGTTCTATTAAGAATAAATCATTTGCATTTATTATAAATTATTTATTTCATTATATTTGAAAATTATTCAAATTTAATTCATGGTTTACCTGTGAATATGACTTTTTCATTTGAAGTCACGTCTTCGCCATTATCTGTAAAGAAATTACAACTATCCTTAAGTACATGAATATTTGTTGAATTGACCAACATGAAAATAAAATAAAAAACATGTGCATTTTGCGCAATGCATTTTCATTACTTCCGCGCAACCGGAATATATCTGTATAATTTCATGTTAACTGCATCTAAACGAATAGATTTGTTGCAAATAAAAAAAGAGTGTTCGACCATATTGATAAAAACTGAAATGATGTTCGGTCGAACTGAAATGATGTTTACTCCAACGAATTGAATCTGAATTTCTTTACTATCACGTCTACGTTGTTTTCATTCCACACAGTTTGTATAAAAACAACGTATCGAACTAAATATTAAATGAGTCATTCCATTGATTAATCACGATGAAAGGTGTTTGATTTTTTTCAGTATCATAAGCTTGTTTTACGAAAAATAACTTACCTTTGGTTAAAATGTCGAAGAGACCACAATGCACTGAACGGGTATTGATTATTGATATAAGATAAAAAACTAAGAAAATGCACTTCATTTTCAATTTCTTCGTTTCATACAGATATCAGTGTCCTCATCAAAATTGAGAATACTATTAATTCAAAGTTGTGTAGTTCAAATACAAACAAGTTGATAATTCCAGTTAAATCAAACTCAAATCGATGACTCTTAATAGTTGCTTTTGCTTCTGGTATTTATTTAAAGAATATATTACGATGAGTTTCTTTGGTTATTTTTGTTCACTTATTATTCACTGTGTGTTGCATTATAGTCTGGAATTGAGAAAGAGAAAGAGAAGAAAAAATTATTATAATGCAAGAGAAAAAACACATGCACACACACACACACACACCTATATATATCATAACCAAGTTAATGATTATAGGAAAATGTCATATACTTGAAATTACATTTCATAGTCGGGTCGCGGTTTTTTATTCGTTTTGTTTTGCTTACATTTGCAAATGACATCAGTTAAATGATTAATTCAAATCATGTGCTTTGGTCACAATCGCTTCGTTGTTGTTTTTCTTATTTATTTATTTTTTTGCTTAAAATTTACTTTGATTTGTTTACTTCTTTATGAATGGAAATGATCTATTTTGAGATAAGAAAAGTGAACATTCGTCATGTATGCACGTTCGACATATAGCTAATTTTTGTTACCGAGAATAATTTTGAATAACGCAAACTGAATTCATTATCCATTAAAATTTACATGTTGGTTTTTTCTGTTCCGGAATAGATAGACGCCTTTATCATGCGAATTCGTGCATGTGGTGACTTATAATTCAATTATTGCTATACATCTATGATACGTGTTTAACACATGCATATATTTAAAAAAAAAAATAATTAGATGTGGTATGTTTATTTTTATATAAACTCAATTTAGCAGGTCACGCCAATATGTGATAATAAATTAATTGCAACCCATAATGACTGATCAATAATGGTACGCATCGTTAAGTTGTCAATAATTTTACATGCCACTTATAATATCTTATTTTGAATGTAGAGCATTTGTATAGGTGGATCGAAAAATCGAGAGATATTTGTCAGCAGTCAGAAATGGCAAACATTAAAATGCCTTTTTTGATGCTTTTGAAAAACAAAACAACAACAAAACAATCATTTATCGCCATTCAACTTCTATTTGTGATAGACATATACGCCCAGTTGTTGTGTGTTTCTTCTCTTGGGCAAAAATTTGTTTAATGATCAAGTACACCACCGCCATACGTTTATATTTTTCACGTGATTGTTTTTTTTAACTGGTTCTCGTAATTTTCCAAATGCATAATATGCAAGAATTTTATCTCCTACCATGATCTACTTATTAACGATCGAAAAATTGTTTCTTGGTGTTGAACTATGCTCAAACAAACAAATAAATAAAAAAAATTAACACACGTGATCTGTGATTTTGTTTGAACTGGTTTTCTTACTTTTCCGCAAATGCATTTACTGTAAGAAAAAGTATCAATTCAAATTGATCATGCACACAAAAAACCACGACTTATTACATTTTATGTTATGGTCTACGGCACTTTTAACATCACAACACACATAAGTTGTCATCAATTTTTGAATTTGTCCAATGTATATGATTGAACTCACAATGCTTTGAATATATATTCGCCGAACTTTTCTTTTGATGATGAATCACACAATTGCAGGAATACCATGATATGGTTCTATCTCAGATGAGAATTTTGTGACATTTATTCTATAGATACAGTTTACAGACGGTATTTCGTGCAGAAATGAAACAAAAATTGTTTTGTTTATAATTAAACCAATGTTTTACCATTCATTTCAGAATAGTTAGGTGTGCACATGAAACGGTTCAAACGTGTTAATTAAATGTGTTTAAATTGCAAAATTCTATCAAGTAAGCCGCGATTATCCAACGCAACTTAATTAAATCTATATATCGATATGAATGAAAAAAATGCTGATGAATAAAAATAGTTATACGCATGACATGTAATTTAAAATCAATTTTAATTTACTGCGATTCAGATGGCTGCTAGCGATATTTTTTATATATATAAAAAAAAATTACTTACAAGATGAAAAAGCGACTCACTGCTAATGCCTGACAACAGGATGCAAACGGGATGATGATGATAAGAGAACAATACTGAACGAAATTAACTGAACCAAAATAAAGCTACTATTTGTTGTGTGTTGTTTGTTCTGTTATCACATTCAAATTGACTGTATTCATATAATTTTGGTTGGACACCCAAACCCGACTACTGTGTATGTATGATGATTTTTATGTACAATTGTATATAGTATATTCGGACCGATGTGATGGACTTTATCAAGTTTCATGTTTGTGTTTATAAACAAACAATACAATGACCGTTTGGTATATATGCATACATTCGTCTAAGTAATTGCCGGCATTGACATATATTATCGTTTTGTTTGTTATTTTGTTAGTTTGTTTTTTTCGACTCTGTGTTTTCGAACGATGACCAAGTTGGAACTGAACATAAAATATGATCTGTCTCGCTTAACCAATTTATTTAAATGCCAAATTTGAAACTAATATAAATATGAGAAAGTTTCCCCTTTTTGAAATCAGTGAGGATGGAACTCATTTCTAACGAACATTTTTTGTTGATGATCAAGTCCCTCCAAAAAGTTCATTGAATTAAATCTTTTTACAGTAGATATTGCGTCGTCGGTTATGTGAATTAGCGGCGTAGTTTTTTTGATACATTCAAGAATTAAAGCAGAATATATAAACTTGTGAAGATATTGTGCTAGAGTGGGAAAATACAAGATCAAGCAAAATCTACTGCCAAGATATTTTGTTTAAAAGAAAAGTTATGATATCTGATGTATTTCAAATCATGATGACTATAATCATCTATGATGGTTCCTCCAACTCATTGGAATCACGTGTAGTTAAAGTTGTGCGCTTGTTTGGTGCTGGAGATGAACCACCAATTAAGGCAATGCTCAATTTTGATTCACGAGTCCAAACAGTTCCACCTAATATACTCATGCCCAATTGGCTAACAGAAGCCAAGTCTTCATCGTTGGACTCGACTGCATATGAATTATTTGCCTCGATTTGTTCATTTAAACCTTCATTCGATTGGCAATGGTTTCGATAGCATCTTTGATGCAATGCTTAATTTGGATTTGCGAGATCGAACAATTTCATGCCCAATTGATTTACAGAAGCCAAACCTTCATCGTTCGAATCATCGGTGCCGTTCATTTCAACGTTGGACATAAACTTTTTACCTCGCTTCGACTTACATCGCTTAAGATTTTTCATCTTGTCGCCTTCGCTTTCATCCATATTTATTGTTGTCTTAGTTTTTCGTGCTCTGGTACGGCTTTTTTTGGCATCGGTAACATCGGTCAAATTGGAAGTTACCATACTTTCCATAGCATTCTCTATTAACTGTGCGCGTTTGTATCCTCGTGGACGGAATCGGAAATCCATACAAATGTTCCTTTATCAAAATCGCTTTGTTCATCAATTTTCGGAAATTTTTGAAATCAAACACAAATCTTCAAAGCATATACAAAAACTACCAAAATCAAGTCATATTAACGCGTATAGGGAAATTTTCATGGTTCTCATAAATCTGGTCTCGCTTCAAATAACTCAATTAATTTTACTGCCTCAATTTTCGACCAGTTTTTTTTACTATCCGCTTATCTTTTGATTTGCGTTTGGGTGTTTTGCTATGTTGGGTTAAGAAATGAAGATGCATAAAATACATTTGACTTGAAATTGATACGAAACTTATCCACCGAACAAAAATTGTAGAAGAATCAACAGAGTGAGAGTGTGCTTGTGAATGACTGTCATTTTTTGAAAAAGTGAAGAGAAACCGTAATTTTCTGTGCGAAACGATTGGCACCACCATCACCGGACACCAAATGAAAGCGATGCAAATTGAACGATTCCAATGAACAAAATGACACCAACCAAAATAAACGGAAGCAAGCACAAACAATCGATTTTAGATTTGAACGACTATTGCTTGGAGGAAATATTGGAATGACTATCGCTGGAACATTTGAAATCAGTTGTTAAAACGTGCACATGCCTAGAGGTGTGCAAATACATTGTATGAGAAGTAAGCGGAAAATCAGACCAATTAAAATCAATTGGAACAATTGGTGACCAATGACCATATGAAGCACATCATCCCTTTTTATTAAAAAAATGTATCTAAGATAAAAAAAAAATATTTTTATTTTATGTGGACGAAGCAATAATACTCAAGATAATACTAATAATTGGGCGTGAGCGTGTGATACAACACATATAATAGCTACCATTTTGTATAATTCACAATAACATTAAATAGTTGGATAAATTGAACAGTTTCTTTTTTGTTTCATTCAAAATCTTAAATTAAACTCGATGTTTGGGTATGCTAACGCGTGATATTTGTACTCATTATTCCATAATGTCGTAGTCGTCGGGGCAGAATTTGTAGTGTGTTGTTTTTCTTGGGTCAATCATAACTGATGTATCAAGTATATTTCCCATGTTTCGATCATTTTCGATACTGCGTTGAGCAGATGAAATATCATTATCATTGATTATATCCATGTTCAAGCTCCAGAGCATAATCTAACATAAAGTGAAAAAAAATAATGATTTAAATAATTATGTCACATTGTATTACTAAATAGGTTCCCGACTCGTAGTCCGCTACTAATCGGAGATCCGTGTGAAAAAAATTCACATTGAATTCACACAGCAAATCTTCATCATTTATTAGAGAATGGCCACTTTTCACTGAATGGGTCGTGAGTCTTACTGAGTTGGGAACAACTGTCATTATGCATACCTGCTTATCTTTACTTGCTGTGGCGAAATTGCTGCCATCGCCCGAAAATGTGACTGCCGTAACGGCATCATCATGTCCTACCAACGTATAAATCGGTCTACCTTCTAGTAAATCCAATACTTTCGTTGAACCATCTTCACTGGCTGTTATCATCAAATTTCCGCTTGGATGGAATGCAATCGAATTGACACCGTCCAAATGAACACTGTAAAGTTGTATGAGTTTGCGAGCTTTTATATCGAAGATTTTTATTTGACTATTGCTGAGAGCAATTGCAATTAGACCACCATTTGGGTGCCAAGCAACATCATTTCCTATCGAAATTTAAATTTATTGAATTAAACATAAACTATTGCCAACTTATAATTTTTGAATGAAAATCAAGTGACATACATACCATGAACATTTCCACGTTCAGTAAATGTTTGAACGCATTCGCCACTGTTTACATCGAATAATTTTAATGTTCGATCATCTGAACAAGAAGCCACTGTTTTGCCGCTTGGTGAATATCTTGCGCAATTTACACGATTTGTGTGTCCCAAAAACGATTGTGCAAACCGTTTTGTGTCAATGCTCCACAATTTGACGGCTTTGTCATCGGTAGCTGTGACCAATTTTCTATCTTTTGGATGAAATTCAACGCTGCGAACAGCCGACAATGCTGGAAAAGTACACGATGATCCGCGTACAGTTGGCACCCATACCTTTTGTCAGGGTGAAATTGAATGAGTAAAAAAAAAAAATTATGAAAAAATAATGTATTTAACCTATGTTTAGTATTGATATGCATTGCTAGAGCAACATTTCTTTCTCATTTGATTATAGTCAAAGAGAAGTCTCAGGCATATGATATTATTATTTTAATCACTCATGAGTTGGAACATGAAACTTTTCCATTATTGTTTTTGAACAATCAATTCACCTTAATTGTTCGATCTTTTGATGCGGTTGCCATGAGTTGTCCATTATGAGACCATGCAACACCGTTCACTATGTCTGAATGCCCAGAAAATTTGAAACATCTGATTCTGTCTTCGGTGTTCCATAGATTAACTGATTTATCCGTCGATGATGAGGCCAATTTGTTGGAATGTTGATTGGAATTGTATGCCAGACAAGTGATCGGTCCATGATGGCCACGAAAATGTCGCAATAAAATCGGTGCTGGATCTTCAAATGATTCCATTCTCTTATTTTCACTTCTCAATTTTTTCTACTTGAAATTAGAATTTGAAATTTCAAAAAAAGAGCTAAATGAATAATTAGTCTTTTTGCGTTATGGACAAAAGTGTTGTAAAAGTTATGCTTGCTTTACACATTACAATGTGTATTGTGTGTATGTCGTGCTGAAACTAAAATGTCAATATTTGCACGGTTTAACTGAAAATCGTGGTTTAAAATTTTGAAAATTATCACGCGCAGATGTCGCTTCGGTTGCTGTTGGCAAATCAAAAACCAAATTTTGTTTAATTTTTTCTACACTTTAAAGGTTTGATAGCTAGCCTTTTTGGCAAATTAAATTCAAACAATTTTGAAGCTTTCGAATTTTTAAGTGATGTTACGTGAAGATTTAATTTAAAAAAAAAACTCTTGTGCAACTACGTCTTTTCTCACTGTGTTTAGTGTTTCCATGTGCGATTAAACGAGATGGATATCCTATGTGGGATTTTTTTTGTTGGGACGAAATTACCACATACATTGACTATAGAACTGTCAAAGTGTTTTGATGTGTTGTTTCATTGAATCTATAAAATAAGTAAAGGTGTTTACGATTCAACCAAACATTCTGTGAAAAAAAAATTGTGATTTTTTTTTCAGTTATTTTTATTGAAAATGCCTTCACTTGATACAGAAGATACATTGGATCAGTTAAACGATGACAATCGAAATGAAACCACACTCTCGGGCCCAATTATTGGAATAATTTATCCACCACCAGAAGTTCGAAGTATCCTTAACCTAAAAAAAAAACTTTTTATACGTTTAACAATCATTTCAATTCTTTTCTAGCACAAATTTTATTGAATTTAATTTAATTGAAACTTTAGCAATTACAAATTATTTTCCTTAACCGTTGAATCGAAATTTTGAAATAAAGATATCGTTGATAAAACCGCTAGCTTTGTTGCTAGAAATGGACCGGAGTTCGAAGCGCGTATTCGTCAAAACGAATTGGGCAATCCAAAATTCAATTTCTTGAATTCAGGCGATCCGTATCATGCCTACTATCAACACAAAGTCAACGAATTTCGTGAGGGAAGATCGTGTAAGTAATGTGCAATTAATTTTTTTAGTGAATGTGAATTGATGAAAAAATTGTGATAATTTTTAGCCGACGCTGCATCAACTTTACCGGCAAGTGTGCAAAAATTACAAGTTTCATCGGCTGCACATCAGAAGCAACAAGAACTGCTGAAACAAGTGGCCGAACAACAATTTGTACCAAAAGAACCACCAGCAGAACCGGAATTCATTGCTGATCCACCATCAATTTCAGCACTCGATTTGTGAGTTATATATAAGAATAAATTTTGATTTAGCATGGTTTACAATTAGCAAATTTATTTCATTTTTTCTAGGGATATTGTAAAGTTGACCGCTCAGTTTGTAGCGCGTAATGGTCGTCAATTTCTAACGAATCTAATGAATCGTGAACAGCGCAATTATCAATTTGACTTTTTACGGCCACAGCATTCGCTTTTCCAATATTTTACTAAACTGCTAGAACAGTATACTAAAATATTGATTCCACCAAAAGATCTAATGGCACGTTTGAAAACCGAGAGTGTACTGGGACGTGAAAGTTCAATTACAGTTCTCGATCAAGTTAAATATCGGGCCAATTGGCAACGACATCAAGAAGCCCAACGAAAGCGAGAAGAGGAGAAAATTGAGCGTGAACGAGGTACTTTTTTCGGAACAGTAAAAAAGTGGTATTGGTGTTAATCTTTCATTTTTGTTTCCAATAGTTGCATACGCTCAAATAGATTGGCATGATTTTGTAGTAGTTGAAACAGTTGATTATCAACCATTTGAAACTGGCAATTTCCCACCGCCAACAACTGCCACCGAAGTTGGTGCAAGAGTTCTCATGGAAGTATGTATTTATGTGATCCGCGTTGGTGTTGTTGTCTCTTAACGATGGAAATAATTGTATCATTTTGTTTTTATAGGAACGAATGTTAGAAGAAGATGGCGACATTGAGATGCAGATTGAGTCAGATGAGGGTAGTGACGGTGAAGGTCCCGGTACAATTAAACTATCAACAATGGAGAGTCGTATTGGAATGCAAATGCCAGCCGCAATTCGAAAAGATAACATTCAAGTTCAAGATATGGACGAAGCGTCAAGTGATGAGGAATCGGCTCAAGAAAAAATGCCGACGGCACCGATTGTACCATTATTACCGCCAACCCATGATAAAGTTGTTATCAAGAAATATGATCCCAAACAAGCACAAAAACCAATCGTTAAAGCACCAGCACAAGATGAATATCTCATCTCTCCAATTACGGGCGAAAAAATTCCAGCCTCAAAAATGGCCGAGCACATGCGCATTGGTCTACTCGATCCAAGATGGATTGAACAACGTGACAAACATACCGTTGAAAAACTTAATCAAGACAATGTGCGTACGCTTTTATTACGACGGATTTATTTTTTTTATCGTTCGAATAAAATGTTTGCTAATATTATTTTCGTTTTGGCTTTGAACGTGTATAGGTTTTTGCTGTTGGCACAGCTATTGAGGCAAGTTTGAAGCAATTGGCAGAACGTCGTACCGATATTTTTGGTGTTGGCGATGAAGAAACGGTGATTGGTAAAAAATTGGGTGAAGAGGAAACCCGAAAAGATGAACGTGTTACATGGGATGGTCATACGTCATCAGTTGAGGCTGCAACGCGAGCAGCAAGAGCTAACATTACCTTAGAAGATCAAATTCATCAAATTCATAAGGTGAAAGGTCTGTTGCCTGATGAAGAAAAGGAAAAAATTGGACCGAAACCAGTTATTGGTGGTGGACCGGGCACAAGTAAAATGACCAATACCAATGTTTCGGCCGTTCCAATGCCGCCACAAGCTCAACAACCCCCGGCACAACCGCCAGTTCAATCGGCTATGCCAATTCCACCACCAATGATGATGCCACCCATGAGACCACCAATGATGCCATCATTTCCTGGTTATCAACATCCCATTCCACCACTTGTTCCGGGTAATTTTTAATTTTATTTTCAGAGTACTTGGAAATTTAAATAATTTCAATAATTGTTAATTCGTTTCAATCTTTGATGAAAAATAGGCGGACATCCTCCAGCCAATTTCCCGCAACCATCACAGCCACCTGTACAAAGTACTCCAATGAACTTCATGATGGAACCACCTGTACCACAAGCCGATGACGAGCCACCGAATAAGAAACAACGATCCGAAGACAATTTAGTGCCGGAATCAGAATTTATGGCCATACACAAAGGTCCAGTGTCATTGCAAGTTCAAGCACCAAGCGGTGTTGATAAGCCTGAATGGCGTCTTAATGGCCAGATTATCTCAATCACACTATCGCTAAATGACACAATTTCGACATTGAAATCAAAAATTCAAGAAGAAACCAGTTTACCGCCAGCAAAGCAAAAAATTTCGTATGAGGGCATGTTTTTCAAAGATAACAATACAATTGCATTCTATAATCTATTGAGCGGTACAACAGTTCAACTACAAATCAAAGAACGTGGTGGTCGCAAGAAATAAATATAAAATAAAATAAACGATTAATCAATTCAAGTCAAAAAATTTGTATCCCCCATTTTGATTTTATTTTTTAACAATGTTTTGTGCATTTACATAAATACAGATACATAAATAATTTTTTTTTCTCATATCAAATTGCTATTTAGTTTTTATTTGGTTGCAAAAAATGTTTTTGGAATGTTCAATAGTTTTTTTCTTCTTACAAAAATCGTATTGTAATTAATTGAAAAATTAAGCGTCGTCAGTGGTTTGCAATACAGAAACCATGTCACGATAACGTTCCAGCATTTTATTGTAAATGGTCTCGGAATCGTTGCTTTGACCGCAAACACGCTGCGTGCGATTTGGTAAAAATTTGCTTACATAATCGAAATAAGTCTCAACTTCAGTTTGTCCCTCTGGCAAACGCGATAAGTATAAGGCGTATTTGGCGCGATAAACCGCACCGTATAAGGCAGCTTCTGTAGTCTTTTGAATATAAACTGGTGAATTGAATACATCTGATACAACTTGTAGAATGGATTTGTTGGCCGATGCACCACCAGTTGCTAAAATTCGCGTATCTTCACCGAAGTGAAAGCCCATATCACTTGCGACCATCTTGTGATGCAACATTTGCCCTTCAATTGTCGCCCGAATTTCCGTTTGAGGAGATGAAAATCTAATTTAAATTTAAAGCCAAAACAAGTACTGTTAGAGTTCTCTTAACATTTCTTCATACTCACTTAACGACTCCCTTAGCTAATTCGGGTGTGCTTAGATCGCTGTTTTTATTCCAACGAAGACTGCCCTTTACATTTGGTATAATCTCTTTTTGTACAAAATGCAAGGCCATATTTCCGTAATTTCCTCTGGGCGTTGATTCCAATAATTCACTGAAGTTATTCCAATCATTGTTTGCTTCTGATCGCTTAAAAATATCCCGAACCAACGATCCGTTTCGGAAGCTTTGAATAGAAAGGTATATTGGTAAAGATGGAATGCATTGAATACGTATCAATAATAAATCAAAACCCACCATAACATTCCCATGTATCCCGGTTCAGTGGGGTGAATAAAAACATGACCTTCTTCTAGTTTCGCTGGTTCTTCTAATGCCATCATTATAGTATCACTCGTACCTAATGACATTGCCAACCAATTCTTTGTGATAAGCATGCCTGATATGGCAGAAGCATTGTCACCAGTGAATGCGATGACTTTACAATGCGCATCAAATGAATATCTTTGCACAAAAAATGAACCAATTTGACCAATGACACTGTTGTTTGGCACCGGTTGGCTAAGTTTCTCTTCCAATTCTGGTGCGCATGCATTCAAACATGCTTGTGACCATTTTTTTGTGTTAATATCTAATAAATTCATACCAGAACCATCCGTATAATCAATTGGTGCCACCTTATTGATAAGAATCGATGCCAAAAAGCTGCTCACCAACGAAATTCGTGCCGTATTTTCATAGCAATCGGACATTGTTTGATAAACTTTTCGAATTTGTGGACCGGTAAAACGTGGATAACATTTTGATCCGGTGAATTGAACCATTTGATCACGACCACCAATTGCCTCTTCCATTTCGATGCATTGTTTTTCGGTGCTACCGTCCATCCAAATTGGTGTTTGATGCAGAGTAAACGCACTTTCATCGAGTTGCGTATGTAAAAATTTGTCCGCATCCAAATTTTCCAACGTTTTAATGCCATTTGTTGACCAATACAATGAACCATGCTGCTGAGCCGATCCACATACAGCCGACACTTTACTCAAATCGGCTCCGTTCACAACCAAACGATCGATAATTATATCTAGTGCCTTGACCTATGGAATTACAAAAGAATAAATTGAAATCCATATGGGAAAAAATTAACTATTAAGTCAAATTAACCGGCTGATTAAGTTTAAAAACTTGTATGAAAGACAATCAACTTTAAACGACTTAGCCAATACGAATCGAATAAAAATGTTCACATTTCGCTGAATGTTATTAAAAAAACATTTACACACGGAAATTCTTTAATAATGGACAAGTAATTTTTAAATGATTATTTCCTTGTAACTTACCCACATCACGGGTCGCACATGAAACCTAAACAAAATAATTACATATTAATTTGATGAATTATTTAAAAATTGAATTGATATTGGCAATGTACACATATTAATTTTTGTATGTAATTTGTTTTTAAAATTTTCCAGAGTTTTGTGCCGAACAACAATTAAATATTTACTCATTTTTATTTTGTCCAGCATTAACGCCTCCAATGGTTCGGAATTCGGGTAAATCTGTATCAAATTTCACTTCAGCCTGTACGATAACTTTCAAATTGGCATCAACAATAACCGCTTTAAGCTAAAAGAAAATTAGTAATTGTAAATTTCTCATTTGATTGCTGGACAAATAGATGTTTGAACTATTTCAAATTTTGCGCAATAATTCATTTTTGTTATTTAGTCAAAGTGACTTTTTTATACGCGTTTGATTCGACCTTTTGTCAATTCTTGTACAATTACATGTGTGAAATAAACATTTATAATTTATTAAGTAATAAAATTTGGTAACCGATAGCAACTGTTTTCACGGAACGGAACTGTTTTCCGTTGTTGTTGTTTTTTTTTTCTATGCGCAAATATGTATGCGAATGTGTGTAATTTTTTTTTCACGTATTCTTAGTTAAGAAAAAAAATTATAAATATATTTTATAAAAACAAAAGTGTACAGAATTGTCGATGGATCATTGATTTAATGACTACTGATAAGAAAATACAAAATTTGCCATTGAATTCATTGGTAGTTTTTCTTATGAGCAATGATAGAAAGAGAAAAAGGGAGAAAAAAGGAATAACGGAAAAAAATGAAACAAACAATTGATTAGCGCAAAATTATAAGTAGATTGTTGATAATGTTTGTAACATGAAAATTGATTAATTTCTTCAAGTCATTGTAAGTCACCTCTAAAACCCCGGAAGACAAATTTCTTGCATAATAATCGTTCGTTAAAAACATTTGGTTTCGATTGAAAAGTAGCATCCATCATTAAATAAAAATAAAATTAATAAAAGAAAAAAGTTTGAACTGTAAAATAAAAATCGAACACCGTTTGCTTGAACACCTACGATTTCAGGTTTCTACCGATAATTATTTTTTTTTTCTCCCTAAAAAGGCAATGAATTTAAATATAATTTGATATGTGTGTGTTGAAGAAGAATTTAATGAATTGTTCAGAGGATGGAAAGAAGAGAAATGTTTTATTAAATATAATTTACCTTTTGTGTGCTTAAATCGAAGCCCAAATAAGTTTCACTATTTTCTGGAATCATTTTTACAGTCTTCTTTTAATTTAAAAAAAAAAAAACAACAATTTCTCTTACAAAAAAAAATCTAACTTAATCAACAACGCAATAAATTATCTCACAACAAACGCAATATTTTACGCACAAACTCTATTTGGGAAAAAACAAAAAAAAATCGCAGTTGGTTGTGTATGATAAACAAAATAGTAACAAGTGGAATGTATGTGAATGGGATAATGACAAAAACACAACTGATGTGCTTAGTTTTTCATTGACAACTGGACTCGGTGCTTATGCCAATACAAGCAATATAATGCTATAACACCTCCATGCTTCAGATTCACGGTGTTTCAGTGTTTTTTGTGTGTTTTTTTTTGTTTCTTTATTGGATCTTGTGCGTATTGCACGGTCCAGTATTGGTCGTTTGTCTTCAATACATAGTACATAGTACATATTCTAGATAATATGCAAAATACAACAATATGTTTGTGTGTTTGTACAAATACGTTTGACAGCAGTCTTTGGCATTTTTTTACAACAGCCGGTGTTTTTTTTTTTTTCAAATTTCAATTCAAGTGAAGTGCCACTGCTATATTAAGACCAATATTTCAAACCAAATCAACTTTATTTGATATTGTTTTATTCGTCATTGTGCCAATTCATTTGAATTCAATTCAAAATGATTAAAATCCATAAATTAAAAAATAAAACAAGTAAAGTAATTTAAATTATTTTCGAATATCGAAAAATGTCCCATTTTAACATCGGGCCATACTATTCTCAAATACATGCATATATTGTCTAGCAGTCAACGAATAGGCAAAAATAAAAAAAGAAGAAGAAACCCGAAAGCAATATATGATGAAAACGAATTCAGTACATGTTCAATGAGGGGATCATTTTTTTCATGCAGCAATAATTTCTATGGCGGCCATAGTGATTTCATCGGTGATGACTGTGTGACAAGTCATGACATTATTTTCTAAAATAAATTATTTCATTCGATGGCAGACACGTTTTTTGGATTTGATACCACAGCACCGGTAAGATGATATTCGGGAAATTTAGCATTGGAATAAAATCACACATGAATTTACGTGAAATAGTACATTTTGCTTCAACCATTTATACAAATCTATGGAAACGCACATTTTTCATATGATGCTTCTGCATTCACCGCGATCACTATTTGTATTCAGCATTTTTTTATCCTCTCTTTCTCTATCTACCTCCATTATTGCCAAAAAAATTCATGATTTCTGTGTGGTGCATTCCTTATGCAATTTAAAAGTATAAAACATTTATGTTACAATGCATTCTATCTTTTATTTTTCATTTTATTTTAATCTATTGTGAATATGTATTTCTCTGTGGCAGCTCTTTTGACACTTTGCAATAAATTTGAGTCAAATGAATTGTGCGAAGAAATTGACAAAAAAATGGTGCAAAAAAATGTGATTGCATCAGAGTTCATGTTTTGTCACATCGAAATCATGGACTTTCACACAATCTGTGCATATTCGTGTGCAATATATCTACAATACAACACAGTTTGTAGTTAATTGTTTTGATCCATTTTTTTTTTCTTTGGAATAGCGATTCGATAATGATGGCGGTGGACTGGAAGAACAAGACGATTATGATGCACTGAACGAAGAGACTTTTGGATCGGCCATCAACGACGATTGGGAGGGTGAGCATGAAAATCTAGTGCTGCTCGACAGCAATGGAAATACGAGCGGCAAAGAAAAAGATGAAACTGATGATGGCGATTTGGGAGATTTAGGTAAAAAGTGCATAATTGTTGTGAAATTTTGATCGTTAGTGCATATGATTGCAATATTGCAACTGCAGTGATTAAGTGTGGAGAACAAAACTAGAAAACTATTCACGTGATAATGTAGTTAATGTACCATATCAATTTTATTTGTATGTATTTATTGACATAGATTTTAGTATCGCTCGCATGGGGTTGGAGGATTGTGAGGAAGTAGATGATGATATTGAAGGACGTGTTCAATTAGATCCAAGTGTATGGTCAAGCAGAGGTTTTAATGGCATGATTCCACGGGAACATTTCATGCCGCATCTTCTGTCTATGCCGAACTCTGGAATGAATATTGCCGGTCCTAGCATTGCCAATCCATTTCAACAACAATTGGCCAATCAATCACATCAACAACACTTATTAAATACTTCCAGACAGGTATTGTATTCGTAACCATAACAGTAATCTAACACAAATCCCGTGTTTTTTTTCTAAATTCCAAATATAACTCACATCTGCTTCTCATATTTTTTTTACTCTGTTGTACACAGCCAAATGTGCCCCCAAAAATCATGTCGGTGGAAGATTTGGAACGAAATCAAATACGAAATCAGCAAATGCAACAAAAAGTTGAACCGAATATGAAACCACCAACGCCACAAAATCAACATCAACGGCCCAATATTCAACAACAACAGCAACAGCAGCCATTTTCTCAATCATTAGCTCAAACGTCAAAAGGACAACCGATGTTTCTACCGCATCTAAATGTAGCAAATGAATTGCAAAAGAATACAAACCAACGAATTCCGATAGGTTTTCCAGTTAACATGCTACCACCGCATATGAATGCCCAAAATTCCCAGATGCATCCAAATTTAGCTAGAGTCCCACCCAATGTTTTAATGCAACAAAATAACTTCAACGTAAGTTATCTGTCTGAACAAATGTGTATTTCCGAATTTCTTTTATTTTTACATTCAAAGAGACTATTGTATGCTTGCAGGTGAATTCAATGCGTACTGCTACGCCACCAACGCCGATAATGCAGATGCATCAGAAACAAATGCAACAACCACAACCGCCAGGCATTCAACCACCCACATCGGCTCAACAAACATCACAACCACATAAGCGTGTTGGTGTTGGCATGATACCTCCACATATGCAATTACCGCAATTCCAATCGGCGCAACAACAACAATCCGTTAGTATTCATGACCCGTTCAGTTTCTGTTTAAATACTTGTTCTTCAAATATTTTCCAAAGAAACAAATTCTTTTGTCAAATCATGAATGAAATTTCATAAAATTGATTGTTTCAATCGGCAGGCATCAGTTAATCAATTCAACAAACGTTTGGTGCATGAAATCCAACAAAATCATCCTATGCTTTTAAACGCAAAAAACAACACCAAGGGCAATAATGCGTTTCCGTGTAAGTTTTATCACGATGATAACCGTTTGTTAGACCCTTTAATTATTGTTGCTAATCAAAATTATATTTAAAATTAGTTGGTGTGCCAGGAGGAGTTTTACCAGGCGGAATGAACCTTCATCATCAAAACATGCAATATCATCATCATCAACAACAACAGCAGCAGCAACAGCAGCAGCAACAACAACAACATCATCAAAACCAGCAACAGCGGAATAGCAACAACAACAACAACAACAATAACAATAATCAACATCAAAATCGTCTAATGAATGGAACATTGGAATATGATGAATATGCAAATTTGATGAGCCAACGAGATAAACAATGGTTGATCGGCATCCAGTTGTCACAATTGAATACAGGAACGCCATACATTGATGATTTTTACTATACTGTTTTTAAAGAACGTCGAGCTAAATTGAAGGGCATCAAAGAAAATAAAGCACATAAAGACAACCAATTGAATCATCCACTAATTCAGCCAAAAGGTCATGCACAACTAGTTCTTATTTCAATGGGCAATAAAAATGGAACAAACCAACAGCGTAATCAGCGTGAACGGAAAAATAGCGAATCAAATAAAGATAAAGAAACGCCACGCACCTATACACCGCTACAATTTGAAAATTCGTTGGGCAAACTACAGTGCGGCAGTGTAACTGCACCGCGTAAAATCATTGACATGGATGTTGTGGGCGCTGATACGGGCAGCCCAATTAATTCAACAAATGAAATATCCACACAACGTAAATCAAGACAAATTCTATTGCATATAGAAACCTTATATCGTATCGCACTCAAACTGGAGGATTTAGAAGATCCAACAGCCATTGCAACTGCACTAATTGTGAAGGAGCGAAAAGAAAAGGCCGCTGAACAAGAGCGCCTAATGGAATGCAAAGATAACCCGGATTTTGTACCAAACGCATCGAGATCATCATCATCGTTGAGTGCTGACAAAGAAGAGACACGCGAAGAACTACTGGAAAAACTTTTAACAGGATTGACACACGAAAAAGTAGCGCAAATGATGACCATTCGCAAGGGAAAGGTAAGTGAAAATTGTTTAAACGAAAATAACTGTTGTGACATCGATGATCGATCAAAACAAATGAATAAACGAAAGAATTCATTCATATTTTCTCTTAAATTTTCAGACGTTGATAAAACGTGTACTTGCACTACTCAAAGAAAATGTTTATCGATGGGATGTGTGGATTGCGATATTGGCTGCGTTGCCACTACTCGTGAAAAAAGACAGAGAGGATGCTGAGAGTCCACTGTTCATACTATTTCCTGAGTTTCAATCATACATTGAAAACGCTTCGATAGATTCAATACTTCGGCTTACTAATACGCTCATCTCTTGCGAAAAGCTCAGCTTTATTTTTACAAATAAGGTAAGTTCAATGGCGAAATTTTGTTCACATATTGAAGTGATTGAACTATGATATATCCTGACATTATTCTATTTCCATTTCAACAGTTTTCAATATCGTGTGTCATTGTGCTGATAGTGAAAATGGAAAGCGTTTATGCAATATCACCAAACGCCATAACTCCTACACAGCAAATATCATGGTTAGAATTTTTAACAGCATTATCAATTGCGGTCGATAAACTGGGAAATTTGCAACTGGCGAATGTTGCATACGAAAATGATATACTAAAACCATTACTAAATCATTTTTCGCGCTTCCATGATTTAAAATCGCAAACCCTAATTGCAGTGCTAACGCAAAAAAACTCATAAATCGAACAAATTTGTGTTTCTTTTGTATTTTTATGTAGGTTTTTTTTGGTAAAATAGTAATAGAGGTATAGTCGGCGCTTATACACAGAAAAATCTAACTAATAAATAGTTGATAAAATTGTTTGAATATATTTAAAAAAAAAAACAATGACAACAAGAAGCTATTACATGTTTCAGATCTACATAAATACATCTTTTTCGACATTATTTTTCGCGCTGAAAACAAACATCATACACACACATACACAATTTTGTAAATTATTCAAATTCATTTAATTTAACACTAGTTTGAATACTGCTAGCTTGAAGTTTAATATCCAAGAAAATAAAATTAGTACACAAAGAAACAAACAAACAAGAAAAAAAAAAAAGAAAAAAAAGTAACCTACACATACACAGATGTTGAAATTATTTTGCTTAAAGTACGATTGATTTGGTATTATATTTTCACTTGTCGTCGTACTTATATTAGACATGAACGTAGGAATGAAATTTCAAAAAATAAATAAATTTTTCAAGAAATTAATTTTCATATGTTTGACCGTTGAACATTAGTGCGATTTGGTTTTGTAAAAGCAAATTGCTATTTAAAAAAATCTTGTAAAATTATTGTAAATGTATTTTTAAAAAAAGTTTTTTTTTCTTCTTAGCATTCAAAGAATAGATTTACAAAATCATGGATAGTCGTTTATCTATTGATGGATACATAATTTTTATGTGCTTTTTAATCAATTACCAATTACATACACATACATACATTTATTTTTATTGTGTCCGTACAGTTGTCAATAATTTATAAATTTTACCGAACATTGAAGCGATATGCAACATTTATTGATTTGCTCATTGCGACACAATTTAGTTAAAAAAAAAACACGCATAAAAATAAGGCAAAAAATAACTAAACTTATTCTCAGCTAAATTTTTAGAAGAAAAGAAAAAGAAGAAGAAAAAAACGACAGGAGATATAAATTACCGGTCGCATTTAGGTGTTCAAAGTCTGGATATTATTTGTAATTTCGTAAATAAGTATGCATAAATGATGACAGAAACGCATGAAAATTTTGTTATATAATTATTTTTTATCATGTTGGTCAATCTTTTTTTTAATTTTCTCTTGTGCAAATAGAATAAGTACGGACGATTTATTACAATAATAATGAAAAAAAAAAAAAGATTTGAAACATCATCATCATTAACAACATAGCTTCATTTTTTTCAACACAATAAAAATATGACCCATCAATATGACCTACAAGTAAAAAAATCATTTATAATTTACGTGCACTTTTTTCATGTTCGAATTGAAACAATGATTATTTGGAAGAGAGAAAAATGTCGATAGTTTAATGAAATGAATGTTTTTTTGTCATATATTTTAACTTGGTATATTTAATGAAAAGAAAAACAAGTAAAAAAAGATGAAAAAATGGACGTGAATATAGATAGGAAAAATGGAAACTTTGTACATTAATTTTCCATAAAAAAATGGTATTTTAAAAATACTAAAACTCTCGTGAATATTACGTTAAAGAAGAAGAAGATCAAATGAACATAATTCGAATGCCTATCAATATGAATGTTATCATATATGAGTTCATTAGAATCAATCCCAAACTACACTCGACATACACTGGATATATGTTTAATGGTGTATTCGAAGCTTATAATATGCATCAAACATATTACAGCATTAAGAACTGCTGTGCATGTGCTTTGGCTAGAGCGTGGTCTGCATCTAACCAAAAATTGTATTGAAACTATGCGACTCGCTTAAATAGATAAAATTAGGCATACATTTTTGATGTAAAATTTGTTTAAAACAAAAGAAAAACAAAACGTGCCGAAAAAATATATTTGCATTCGTCAATCATTTAAACAATAAAAAAAAATTTCCATCTCTATTTTTCACTTAAATATTCATATACTGACAATGTGTTGATATATTCTATTTGTTTTTTTTTTTCGACTTTTCATTTAAAGCAAAATTTGCAAATTCACATTTAAATACAACTAATTATCCAACATTTGCAAAGATGAAAACAAAAAAAGTACATTAAAGAACAATTAAATATGCAATTTAAATTGAGAACCGTGACAACAAGACCACAATAACAATTGTTTTATTTTACTACCATATCTTCTTATAGTTTACAGAATAATATTATAGGCACGGCAAACCCTAGGGGATAGACACCAATTTCTAGTATAATTAGTTTCATTAAATATTGGGTGTATCGATTAATTTTAAAGGATTGATAAGAGATGGCGTAACTTGAAATTGTGTGTAGCTTGACAGGTGAATCCAATTGCATTTTGTACATGTGACATTTGCCAATCTAATTCAGAGCAGAAAGATTTATTTTTGACACAGTGTCATTATTTTCTGATCGATTCAAAATGAGTGATGAAAAAGTGTTTTTCTGTCTGGCCCTCCCTTGGTTCAATTTTTCACTTTAAATAAAGTGAAAATACATCCAAAGGTTATAAAATGTTGCAGGAGACGAGAACTCTCAATCGCCACAGAGAATGTTGAATTTGGTGAGAAAGAAGTGGTGAATTTGTTGAAAAACTGTGAAATCACCAAAAAAAATTGAATGTTGGGCTATTGGCGTTTTTGATGATTTCTCGGTAATGCTCATTATTTGGTGGGGATAAGGTGGTTTGGTGTATAATGAGCTGCTGAAACAGGGTGAAACAGTCACGGGGGATCGGCATCGATTACAACCAATACGTTTGAGCGGAGTACTGAGAGAAAAATTGAAAAAAACTGCGACAAGAAATAGTCGAAGGATTTATCAAAATTTGACATATTTCAAACATCGCAAAAAAAAGATAGGGGACTCTGGTCGGGATGAGCTTGATCAACCCGCGTACTCTCCAGACCTGGCTCCTTCTGATTACCACTTGTTCCGATCGATGAAAATCAGCCTGTTCGATGAACACATCCAAAATATGAAAAAGCGCGAAATTGGATCGATGAATGGATAGCTTCAAAAGATGAGGAATTCTTTCGACGCGGAATCGACAAGCTACCAAGAAGATGGGCGGAAGTCATAGCCAACGATGGGCAATACATTGGTTAAAAAATATTGTACAGTTGTTTTTAAACAAAAATCCTTTAAAATTAATCGATACACCCAATATGTATTGAGTTTCTTTTAGTTTCTTTTAGTTTCTTTTAGTTTCTTTTAGTATATAAATAAAAACGCGAATATTGTGCTAGTATTTCTAGTATTGAGCCAAATGAAGACATTTATACGGAGAATAATAGAAACCATTGTTCTCACTGAACGAAAATATATTGTTTACATTCGTATTTTGTATGGATCGGTCGAAGAATCAATATGAACATTTATTCTCAAATATTCTTTTGGTAGCTTCTAGTAGATTCTAGTATACTTTTAGTTTTCTATAGTAAAAACTTGTGTCTACCCCCTAGGGCAAACCATATAAAAGTCGTTGAAATTTTTAATCGATTTTATTCATCTCACATAAACAGAGTAAGTATTTTGACAATCTTATACACATTACACAGACACAATCAATATACGTTGTGATAAAAGATAATTAAATGATTTTGTTTCAAAACTAAACATTTCCAAATCAATTCATATCGGTCATGTTTCGTTATCAGTACAGACAGAATATTTTCGAATAGATTTGTAAAATTCAGTGATGAAAATGATAACACCAACTAAATATCAAACGACCGAATATGTTTAAAGCAGTAATGTGCGAGCTACATTTTACAGGGGGGGGGGGGGGCTGATTTTTCAAAACAAAAAATTCTCTAGCAAATCAGACAAATTTTCGTTTTTTTTTTTTTTTTTTTTTTTGAAGTCACTTTTTGAGGCGAAAATCCCTAGCAAATCGAAAGAATTTTCTCCGCGAAAAACCCTAGGAAATCGGAAAAAAATCTCTCGGAACCAAAAACCCTAGCAAATTGAAAGAATTCTCCTCAATTTTCTACATTGATGAGCTAAAAAAAAAGAAAAGGTCTTCACTTTTTTAATGAAAAACCCTAGCAAATTCGAATAATTTTCGCGAAAAAAATTTTCCCATCCAAATCACGGACCCCTTTCGCACATTACTGGTTTAAAGTGTGATATTCAATGCATCTGGTGATTATTCATCGTGTAAAAAAGTAAATAAAGGAAGAAGTTCTATTGAAGTATACAGTTAATGGTAAGTACGACGTTATCTAATGCACACTCAGTGTCCAAGTAGTGTTTAATATTGGTGAAAATTGAACAATAACTTTTGTGATTAAATCAAAGCACACAAATCTTACACAGTTAATATTTACAAATTTTTTACAAATGTTAAGTCTTACACTTCTCTTTCAATTTTCGTATAAAAAATAGATACACATTAAAAGTACCAATAATTGAATTGTTTTATAACGAAACATCGCCGATGGGAACTAGTATCGTATATTCCCCATACAAATTAATTTTATCGATTCTACGAATACGACATCTGTTAAAAAAGATACCGATTTTTGTTACTACTGTTGCTTTGACACAGCTCGAGCGAACTATACGGCTCTGGCTGTATTACAGACGAACTAATACAAAAGAACACACAGACTCCGATCCTGTGTATGCGTATGTATTGTAAATTTTGCACAAGCAGCTACGATTGACGACTGAGTGCAGAATTTGTAATACATACGCATACACAGAATCGGAGTCAGTGTGTTCCTTTGTACGTTTACACGAGCTGTATTAAAACACCACTAGTAACAGAAATCGGCGAGTTTTTTAGTAGATGTCGTATTGGTGGAATCGATAAAGAAAAATCTACGATATTAGCGCTCATTGAACATCGCCGTCATATAAAATGATTAAATACTCGAGTGATTGAATGATTTGATTGTATTATTGTGCGATGGTAAAACAATACTACATTCTGGCTACAATGTTGTAACTTCTTGAATCTGTTCAATGATAAAAATCGTGATAAGATGATGATCACAATGTTTTTTTTATATTGTTATTGACATTATCTTTTTATTAGGATAATATTTAAAAAAAAAAAGTATGTTTCCCATGATAACACAATGTGGGGCGATAATAGTAGATGCAAAATTGTCGTAAAGAGTGTTCCGCAAAGAGAGCCTGAACTTTAAATTGATAATGAAAAAAATAAATGAACCACCCCAGTTGGGCTTAGTGGGTAGCATCCGATAAAGCCCATTTTTATGATATTTATTGATCTTCACCATTTAATGGTGTCTGATTCACACCTGCTGTTCAAAATAGCTTAGGTTCAGGAAGATGCCATTGAGCCAAAAGGATCACCAAGTGCTCCAAATGTATCTTTAAAAAAAAATTGATTCATTAGATCAAATGGCTACCATTTGCAATAAATACTCTTCGTGGAACACCCTTTATTTCTTTTTGTTAAAAAATACTTCAATTTTTTATTTGTTCTTCATTGGATTTGATTTATCACTTGCTCTTTCATTCATAATTACAATACATTGAAAAAATATAAAAAAAACTACCGGTTCAATGATTAATTGAACGCTCTAGAATAAAAACAACGTACTGAATGGTTGTTATATCAAAGCGGAACACGGCGTTTTTTTAACATAGATTTGTTGTTGTGATACGCCGTGTTCCGCTTTGATATAACAACCATTCTGTACGTTGTTTTTATTCTAGAGCGTTCAATTGAATTCTATCAAAGTATCATTATCAAGCGTGTATTGATTGAGATCAATTTCGCTTAATTTTGAAACGAAGAGTGTAAACAATAATAATTATTATTATTATTACTGTGCGTCACTCAAAATGTGATGGAGACGAGACCCACCGTTTCTTCATAATTTGGGTATGCTGATTTCAACGGCATCACCCGTTTTTCTATATCACGTCAGGATTTTCCACAATTTTCCTAGAGAGTTTTCCGGAAAACCAAAATTGGCTGTTTATACTCTAGTAACATTTTGAATCCATGCAATATCCCAGAGGGGTGAGCTATCAGGCGTTGTAGTACGGTTCAAGTAAAGTAAAGCCACACAATTCGTTTTAAAAAAAAATTGAGTCATTTAAAAATAATTGATTTGGATATTACCCTCTGAAGTCAACATTTTGAAGTAAAATTGTTGTCCATTCAAACGCTCTGAAAATGAGTATTTGAGGGTTTTTTGGCATGAAAAGACCGAATATGACGCTGGTTTTGCTATAAAATAGGGTTTGAATACATTAACCACACAAAAAGTATCCAAAATGGTCAAAAATGTCCAAAAATTTCAACGTGTGGTAAGTGTATTCAAATTTAATTTTATAGCAGAAAAAGCGTCATATTCGGTCTTTTCATGCCAAAAAACCCCCAAATACTCATTTTCAGAGCGTTTGAATGGATACCAATTTTACTTCAAAATATGGACTTCAAAGGGGAATAATTAAATCATTTTTTTTTTTCAAATGACTCCATTTTTTTAAAACGAATTGTGTGGCTTAACTATACTTGAACCGTACTACAACGCCTGATAGGTCACCCCTCTGGGATATTGCATGAATTCAAAATGTTACTAGAGTATAAACAGCCAATTTTGGTTTTCCGGAAAACTCTCTAGAAAAATGTGGAAAATCCTGACGTGTTAGAGAAAAACGGGTGATGCCATTGAAATCAGCATACCCAAATTATGTAAAAATGGTTGGTCTCGTCTCCATCATATTTTTAAAGTTAAAAAATGACGCACAGCGTAATGAATGGATACATTTCCTTCTTTTCAAATGACGCGAAAAAAAAATTAAATTTTTATTTGATAACAAATTTACACAGCAAAGCGTGAATTGGCACTAAGCGTGGTTGCAAAACGTCAACTCGTGCAAATGATATAAACGTGATCAAAGTATATATAATATAAATTCGAACGTACTGCAATTTTAGTCGGTTGAAACATACAGAACAGAAAGCACAAAACATTGTTTAGCTTCGCATGAACTCTTCAACTTCTTCTAAGTGTTAAGTTCTTCGTTGTATTTGGGTTACATGTGGGCTGCTACCACATGCAAAACAAAAAACAAATAAGTTATTCAAATGTAAGTGCATTTATTAATTATTACAACCTAATAAAAAAACAACATTCTTACGTTTGAATGGATAACAGAAAGAAACGGAATAAAAATGGGCGATAAAAAAACAGACGAGGATGAAATTGAAAATGATTTGGACTTTGTGTTAAGTGATGTCGGCGAGTTTGGAAAATATCAAATTGGTCATTGTATATTAATGATTTTGCCAATCATATTAAGCGCAACATATGCCGTTGAATTCATTGTAACGAGTTCAACAGATGACTACAGGCAAGTTTCAATATAGATAATATAACATAATATTTTTAGCGTGTGTTCACCAATGTGAAGAGAGCTATTTTTGCATACAAAGTCTGTTTTAGACTGTCGGAATATTTTCGGTTTTTTTTTCTCGTCAGAAGTGGCATTGGCATTGACATAATTTTATGATTCGATCGAGATTATTTCTAATGGTTGTTGAATACCGGACTTATACTTAAAGTCTTCCATTTTTTTTTATAATATTTTTATTTTAACGCAGTCCTCAAATTTTGAAGTATATCAGTGATTTTGAAGTATTTAAATTATTATTTTAACCAATTTTAATTTATAATTAGATGTCTAATAAGTGAGTGTGAATCGTCAAATACTACTTCATATAATCAAGATTGGTTAAGTTATGCGATTCCATTAAAAAATGGGCGACCCGAAAAATGTTCCAGATATGCTGGCTTACAGCATCCAACCGAATCTCAACCGGGACAATGCTCTAAAAATCTGTTTGACGAATCTAAGATAGTTCAGTGCAGTGAATATGTATTCAAAAGTGATGAATACCGAATTATGCGAGAGGTAACTGTTCTGACGAAACTGCCAATAATTGATGTTCTCATAATGTATGTTAAAATTTCAGTTTGATATTTTGTGTGATGAAAATGAGTATAAATTAGCAATGGTTGGAACAATCAATAACATTGGGGGTTTCTTATTTATGCCCCTAACTGGAATCTTGTCGGATAAGTGAGAACTAATTATTTGAAAAAAACAATTGAATTGATTTTTAAAAAAATTCATTTTGGATTTGCGAATGCATCCATAGATTTGGTCGTTTGACGATTCTGATTTGTGGTACAGTTGGTTGTGCGATATTTGGTTTGATCAAAGCGTTTATTGGTTCATATACATTTTATATGATTGTAAGTATATGTAAATATGGGTCGTTTAGTTTTCCATATTCTCTCACTTCTATTCCATCCGATGATTTTATGGACTGTGTTCGATTACAGTTTGAGTTCTTAGGAGCCGCAGTAGGAACTACTTGCTATATGGCTGCATTTGTGCTCTGGGTCGAATGGGTCAGCTCGAAATATCGAATACTGAGTAGTACACTAATTGCAGCCATCTATCCAGGCGGTGAGGTATCGTATTTATCGTTTTTTTAAAGAATCTTTTCAATACACTTGACAGACTTCAAATGGTAATTTGTTTATTTCAAAATTTTAGGTGTTGATGGGCGCGGCAGCAATTTTTTTGCAAAATTATCGAACATTCCTTGTGGCAATCTATACGCCAGCGCTATTAACTGTTTGGTATTTCTGGTTGGTACCGGAAAGCGTACGGTGGCTTATTGCAACCGGCAAATATGATCGTGCGATGAAAATTTTGAAATGTACAGCCCAACAGCTTTGCACTTAAACTATATATTTTATTATACATTATTTCCATTCTTTTCTGTTATCTCACAGGTACAGCCCGACAAAATAAACGTCAAATATCGGAAAAAACCTTGGAAATCGTACGAAGCTATTGCAATAATGTCAAAGGATCAGGAAGGTGTAAAGCTGATTGTTCATCAGTTACAACCATTTTTCAGCATAAAGTCTTAATCTTTCGTTTGATTATGTGTTCAATGTGTTGGATTATGACGGTTTTTGTATTTTTTGGCTTGAGCGTGAATGCGACGAAAATTACGGACGATAGTAACAAATACTTGAGCTATATCACAACTATGGCGAGTATTTTCGAAATGAAAATCATTTAAATTATGTAATCATTTAAATCAAAGCGGCCATCAATAAACCTGACATAACTTTTAATTAAATATACAGATATCAGAAGTGCCTGCTGCAATCATAACATTCTTTTTACTCAAATATATTGGACGTCGAACGGCAATGTGTTGTGCACTTGCAACGGCTGGATCAGCAACAATTCTCTCAACATTTGTGCCAACCACATACACATACACATTGATAATTCGTCGAATTATGTTTTTTATTGGCATGTGTTCAACGTCCAGCGCATTTGCTGTTCTTTATGTATTTTCAGCAGAAATATGGCCGACGCCAATGCGAAACACATTGATGAACATTTGTTCAATGATAGGTCGTTTCGGGTCGATGTTAGCACCATTGGCGATATTATTGGTAAGATTTCTACTTCTCATAATCGTTTCATTGTCCTCTTTTTTCCTCTTTAATCGTTTTATCGTCATTATAGAGTCATTATATGCCCAATTTACCATTACTTTTGTTTGGAACGGCAGCCATTCTATCTGGATTTATAATATTTACTCTACCTGAAACAAAGGGTATTTCCTTAGTTTTCCTATTTAACAGTGTTTTTATTATATTATAGTTAATATTTTTTTTATTTCAATAGATAAAAAACTTCCTCACACGATTAAGGACGCGATTGAATTGTAGCCGAAATTCATTCGAAAAAATTGTTGATATATAAACTGTCGTTTATCATTTTATCTGGTTTAAGTTACATAGTCAATAAATATATTTATAAATTCTTCCGCCCTTTTTTTAGAAGAAACGTTTTTTACGATTTAAAATCAATCAATAATTGAATGAGTTAGGATTAAAGTGACCTGGACTCATTCAATTTACAAACATTTTTCGTGGAAAAAGGTTTTTGGATGTTTTTGTCCAATGTTTTGTCAACCAGAAATGGTGCTTCAAAGAGTTCCAAACCCCGAAATTCAACGTGTATCGCAAAATATGCAGCCAATGTTTTAGTTAATACGCTATCTAGTAGTTCTGTTGCAATTAACTAATGATATTAAAATCAATCAGTTAATTATAAATCGAATTTATTGGATTAGAAACTTTTTTTTGTAAAAGATTCATGTTTTGAATTTTAATGCAGACGACTCGGTTATGGACCTGGTGTAGGTCAAACTACATGTAGTTTTGAGTTTAGATAAGATGAATGGTGGCGGTTATGGGTTTACCAAAATATAGGTCTTGTAATTCCACTATTAGTTTTGCCAGACGACTTTGTCTGGAAAACAGTCTGAATAAACTCAAATGGAAAGCTTTTAAACGGGTTTTTTATATTGCACGAACTTCATGAGCTTTATAAAAAGCTGTATCTAGATGACGTGGTGTTGGTCATTGAAAGATTCGAATATTCAACATTGACTAAGTTTTCATCCGAAAAAATTTGATCAGAAAATCTACATTTTTGGGAATCTGAAAAATTCAATTGCCAAAAAAAATGGAATAAAGGAAGTACTATTTCTTCTCGTGTCATCTTTAAAAAAAAGTCTTTTGTCTTTTTTTAAAATATGGACTTTTTTAAGATTTTCTCATTCAAACAAAATTATACAAAATGAATTTATACGAAAATGAAAATGTAACCGACAATTTTTGGCATTAACAAAGGTAAAATGGTTTTGGTGTATATGAAATAGCCCCCCAAAAATGGGGAATTGGCTGTCAAAAATGCGTCGATAAAAAAAGAACAAAAGAAAAATGTGTAAAAATTTCTTGAAAGTAAGAAAAAAATAATATTATTCGATGCAATTTGATACTTTAATTACATTATCTTTCTTGGATTCGTATAGAAAAATTTAAAAACATATTTATTTTAACCTTTTTTTTATTAAATTGGGTTATTCGCACGCGCTGATTTTTATATGTGCCAAACATATGTTCGGAAAAATTCTCAAAGTTTATTTAAAAGGTAACTTTTCTTTCGAAACCATACCATTCATACGAGAGTCGAGCGCTATCCATCCAAATACATTGTGACGTCACACATCTTACACAGAAACGGCATCTTTGTAAAACAGGCTAACTACAATGTAAAAGTATAGCGAGAGGGGAAGGGAGTGAATAAAAAGGGGAAACAGATAAGTTTGATTTACATTGTAGTTAGCCAGTTATTAATAGATGGCGTTTATATAGTGTGCCCTTATTGCGCTTGACTCTTACATTCATAAAAATGGACAGACTCATATCTGATTCTTTTTCTGATTAGCGAAACTATTTTTGCACCTTAAAAATGGAAATGTGCAACTTGAAAGTGGAAAATTGTTGACTTAAAATTGGAAAAATGTAGACTCAAAATTGAAAAAATGTTGAAAAAGAAAAAATTCCTAATTTTTGGCAGGACTTCCCGTTTTTGGCAGCTAAATCTCCAATTTTGGGGGGCGATTTTCCCATTTTTGACAGCCAAATTTTCCATTCTTGGCAGCAATTTTTTTTTATTTTTTCTGATTGAAAATTATAAGTTATTCAATTTCTCTTACAAAAAATACGAATCGCGTAAATTCAAAGTGAGTTTGAAGGTAAAAATCATCAAAAATAGCAAAATTTTGATCATGTGTGACAATTTTGCTGAAATTTTTATATATTTTGACAGTCATTATAGTATGAATAGTCATTTTTAGGATAAATTGGGGCGGTGAATCCGAATCAAGCCCTAAAATTGACGTACCGCCAACGAAAAATCAAAATTTCATTAAATTTTTGCAAAAAATTGATTAAAAAGTGCGATTTTTTGGTTAAAAATCATTTTTTGAGCAATTTCAATGACAGATTTGGATTCAGCGTAAAAAATTATCCTAGAAATGATGGTGCATACGATTCCAAAATAATCTGCTCTATACACTTTTTTTCGTTTGAAAGTCAAAAAAACGAGCAAAATAAGGTATTTTTGGTATGGTCGGGGTCGGGTCGTTTTTTCAACCTTTAAACAATGTAATGATGCCAGTTACCTAGCTTTGGACCAAAATTAACAAAACCGGTCGGGGAACAACAATCCGTTCAGATAGTGAGATTTGGGCCACCCTAGTACCCATGCATGATAGCACCTAAGAGAGGTTTAATCTGAATATTTAAGTTATTATATTAAGATATTATTTTTTCTTCATTTACTATATTGATCTATATAGTTAATTTTGAAATCTGGACGTGACCAAAAATTGACCTTTTACAGGGGCTGATTTTTTTCATATCCCGAACAGGTGCAATATTTTTGATCCTTAAATCAGCTTTCCCCAACCCCAATTCATCGTTCCCCATCATTTTCATAACTTAAAAAAATGAAATTTCTCAAAAAACTCGATTTAAAGAGCATGTCGTAAAGTGTAGTTGTGTCTTGGGGGGCCATTTCCTCATTTTTGGGGGGAAATTACCCCAGTTTTTGTCAGCCAATGTGTCGAAATGCATAAACAAAATCAATACTAAATCGACAGTTCCAATTGACTGGACTTCTTATATCGCATGACACGCCACCAAAAGATTCTGTACGGTGAATATTTTTTAAATCATTTTATGGATAGAAATCTTTAGTTAAAGCAAACAATTCAAGTGAATCGATTAAAATGATACTTGAAACATACACAAAAACAGTGCGCAAAGCAATTACAACTTTGAAAGAAATGCGAAAAAACAATAACGAGCGTTAAAGAATGAAAATTTGATTTCGCCCTCGAAACAGTTACAATGTACAAGACCAAACACGCTTCAAGTGTCTCGTCGTAGTCGTGTAGCACACTTTTTGCCATGTGCGCTTCTATTGCAAACAACAAAATAAAAGAAGAAACAACAATCACAGCCGCAAATAACTGAAGAAATGTTAAAAAGAAGGAAAAATGAATGCATGCGCGCTTGGAAATAAAACAATAATTGCAATGTTAGTAAGGCTATGCTGCTCCTGTGCTTGTCTATGAAAAAAATGCACCAATTCTCTATTATTTCTCTCAACAATACGATTAATAATATGATATTACATTAATCCATGTTCAGTTTGTTGTTATCCGTGTGGTTGTTTCTTGTTTTTGTAGCTCGAGTCCATTTGGATGCTGTTCTATCCATTATTTTTAATCTCGTAAATGAATTGCTATTAACCATTGTTTCAATGCATTTGCAAGATGTAAATCGAGCATGTATGTGTATGTGCATGTGCGAGCGCATTTGATTTAGTTTAAAAAGTTGGCGTGAGTGAGTGTATTTGTTTGGACTGAGTCCAAACTTTGGACTTGGATGGTGGAGCGTGTGCGCATTCGCAATCGATTGCAGGTTAGCCTATTGCATGGTATAATATTGCATGGTTTTATGATTGGTCATTTCTTTTTAGCCATGGCTCTAGTTCAAATGTACCACGCTTTCGCTGTTATGATTTTAATGATAGTTGGTCGTGTGGATGGAGAAATAAGTGCATACATATTAGGGTGGGTCAATTTAAAAACTTCAAACGCTCCACGCGATTCTGGTACTATGGACCATAACAAGTATTTTTGCCCAAGGAACCATACCTCTATCGTGAATTTCGAGCCAGCCAATTTTTCTATCAAGATATTTTCCAAAATACTCAAAAATTGACTTAGACATTTCATTAAATATTCAAAAAAACATTATTTTTTCTCTAGCCAAATGTGTATGCGGGGGTTTTTGGGGTCGAGGAATCTATTTTTGACATTTTTTTTCCATATAATAACGTTTTAATACGATTTCCATACAAAAACTGGCAAAAATGGTCGTTTTCTTCTCTTTTTTCCAATTTTTTTCTGTTGATTTCGATTTCATCATCGGATCAGAAAATTATGTTCTACAAAGTTGTTCAGAATGATGAGAGAAATTTTTTGGGTCAGCTGCCCTCCAACTACCCCCACCTCTTAGGGGATCCATACAATTTGACCCACCCTAATACATATATTTTCTTAGCTGATCTCCGTCGAGTGAAATGAACTAAAATAGGTATTTGAAACAGAAAACAATTACGGAGCAATATATGAGCCACGCAAAGAGTTGAAGAAGTGTGCTCGCGCATACCGCAAAACGAATAAAAAGAAAAGAAAATAAAATCATCGGCGAGGCGAAACAAATATATTCCTTGCGGTTTATGTTCATAATTTTGTTGTCGTTCTTTTCTTTCATCTTGTGCTGCCTTTATTCTGTATTTATTTCATTCGGTCCTTTCCATACAATTTCATCCTATTGTTTAAACTAAACATAAAATACGTCTCGTATTCCTCGTCTACGTCGCCAATAGGCAGTGAATTGTCGGGGACAAAAAAAAGATTCAAGAAATAATATAAATATGGATTATAAACCGTTTCATACAGTAAGCGTGCTGAATGCGCCGACATCGAACCAAACACACGCTTAAAATATTATGTACATGTACAATACAAAAAGTATTACTAAGTACTGAATTGCACACACTGCATTGAACACACTGAAAAATCCAATCGCCGCAAAACAACTATCAAATTATTATTATTTACATTTTTCTTTCAAGCTGTTTTTATATCTTTACTCTTCACCTTTGAAATAAGTAAGTGTGCATTGCAATGTCATGCTTTAGCGTTGGCATCTCGCTTTATTTTGTCGTTTTGTCGATGTTAACCTCTTTCTCTTTCTATTTCCCTCTTACTCTCTCTAAGTGATTTGAATTTGTTTTATTTTGTACGTGTGTGTGTATGTTTTTTCTCTTCTTCTTTTTTCATATAACTTGTATACCTTGGTATATCTTGTATGCTTCGAATTGTGGAACATTTGCTTCAGCTGCTACCTTTTCTCGTTGGATACATTTTTCCAACTACAAACGGTTGATGGTTTATTTTGAGTTTGGTTGCCTCTTGATTCGTTCTTTTCAATGATTCTTTGATTTTTAAATGTGTGTGTTGTTGTTTTTTTTTTTTTTTTTTTGCTCTCTTTATTTCGCTCCAAACGCTACAATCCCCTTTGGCTCTGAAAATGTTCCTTAGGCACATTGTGCTCTTGTCGCGAATATCAACGAAAGAGCACGAGCGCAAGAACTACCATTCAAAACATGATCACAACAGCATATTGCCATACACTTCGCTTCGATTGAGTGAGTTAGTTCACGTTCAGCCGGTGCACGTTTGCAATAACATGAAGAAAGACCAAACGAATGAAGGAGAATGAGAGAATTTAACACACCGAATGATATAGCTAACGAGCGAGCGCGCGAATAAGAACGAACACAAACGAATATGAGGAGAAATAAGACTTAATACACCCGACAATGTTTGATCTCAAACATTGGCTCAAATCACTTGTGGTAAACAGTTGGTTTAGATTGATATAACATTCAATTTAGGTTTAGTCTTTCGGTTGCTGGCATACAGCACACACGTACCGCTTTTTATTTTCTCAACATTTTTATTTTCTTCGTGTATATCAAGTGTGCCGATATCTAACGATAACCGCGATTTTATTTTTTAAATTCAACTTAGTGCGAATGATAATTCGTATTCATTTGACTGGATGTTATTTATTTTTTTAACAAAAATAATGTGTTAAAAATCAAATAACAATTGTTTGAACCATTTGTTGAAATCGGTATCCATTCAAACTTATTTCGGTGATAGAAAAGTGATTTGTTTTGTTGATGTGTAATAATTTTAGTTGAGAACAACAAAGTGATAAATTAAACGAATGTCAGATAAACAAACATGTGTCAATGGTTAGCAATTAAGTGTTGTTCTGTTGTCAGAGGATCACATGAAGTGCTTACACAAAGATGTGATTAGAGCTAGTGGTGTTGGTGTATTAACAATTTTCCGACGAATTAAACGACTTTTACAAATGATGGCATTGATTATGATAGTTGCATTTATGACTTCGGTCTTGTATCAGAATGTGCATGGTTTAAAAGATTTGGAGGTATGTATTACACAAAACTCTATATTCAGACGTCGCCAGCTGATCGAATCATCTTAATCATAAGCTAAAAAGTTGTATTTTTATTATCTCCCCTTTTAAAAATGCTTGCCTCAGTCTTATCATTTACCACTGACGGAGCCATCGAAAACCACCAATCATCCAATGAACATTGGTCTTAAAAACCATGCGATCAACGAAGTGGCCGATATCATATCAAACCCATCCAGGCCACAAGTGAACACAGCAAAGGCCAAAAATAATGACCGGCCAAAAGACATTTTCGTCACCGATTACCTCTTAAAACAGCGACACATTCACGAATTTAGTGTTACAGCCACACCAAAACCAACAACAACCAATCTCAATGATATATTCATCACGGTGAAAACAACCAAATTATACCATGACACAAGATTAGCGCTTATAATCAAAACGTGGTTTCAATTGGCAAAAGATCAAGTAAGTTTGACAATTTTTTTTTACTTTTTTTTTGATGTGGGGGTTTTTCTCACATTGTATTGCATTCGTTCTGCTGTGTTGATCTATTTAAATTGTGTTCACTCGCTCGCTCGTTCGCTCTTTCCATCTCTACTACAATTGCAGTCCATCTCTAAACTAGTTACATTATTCAGGTGTAGACGCATTTGCTCAATATGATTGGTTCATTTCACATGCATTTTTATACACTCAATAATTTATTCCAAGAATTTAATTTGTTAATAATACTTTCACGGGGGCAAGAATTAAATACAATAGCGAATAATAATGATTCTTGGTGATGGCATGAAAAAGATCGTGTATTCGATAAAGAATTTTTTTTAAACTTATTCTATTATTTCACTATCCGGAATGAAGAGCAAGGAAATTCATTCCTGTGTCGACTTTTCATCCTAAATAATAGGTAGAAAACACTGAGTTGGAACGGAAAAGAATAAAAGAAAAATATGCAATGGCATGTTATATGATGAGAGATGTTTGTGAAAATTACATAATGGCAAATGCTCATAAACAATGAACAGAGGGTCTGTCTCTCAATTCAAAGAACTAGAATATATAGTCACTTATTTGAATGAAAAGGGTAATTTTCAGTTTGTTCACACCATCATCTCGAAGACAGAAAATGTAAAGTGGTTTCAATCTCATTGATTGTCGGAATGATAGTAGTTTAAAACATTGGAATGCAGATTTATAACGAAATGGCATGTCAAACATGAGTGGATTGTGTTTAATAAACGCGACGAAAAAAATCAAATCAAATAAAGAACAATAAATTGTTATTACTGACACGTAGTGGTCAATATATCAAAAAAGAATACCGGATGGTCTAACGTGGGTCGCGTATCAAAGTTTCACATACTAAAAGCATTTCAATTTTTTTATTTTTCAGCCAGTATGTATAAAATAAAAGATAGGATTCATTTTGAAGTTTGCTTTTTTGAATGGTGCTACTATTTTTTATAAAATACCGTATTTTCGGTTTACACTTACTTCAAAGAAAATTCGAGCTAGATGAATGCATAAAACATGTGTAATAGTTGTATGTTTTTGTTATGAAAAAACTACTTTGTTTATCTCATTTTTCATTATCCAATTCTTCTTTCTAAATGACTCATTAGAATTGTTTCAATGATTTTACGAATCCATTCTTTCATCTTTGTTTATGGCATTACGTAGGGCAGGAAGAAAGTAAAACAAAAGTAAGTCAACATAAAGCCCACGCCAGAAATTGGCTACAAATTGCACATATACTAAATGTTATGGCTGCAATACAAGCAAAAGTCATACATTCATTAATGACACAAACTTGCACTAACCACAAATAATAATAACTGGGATGATATTCGTGAACATTGATACATTTACTGAACACATTAACTAAGGTGCATTTCTATGCGTTAGAAATTTTATCGAAAAATAATAATAATAATAAATGTGTGTTTACCGAGTTTCTGATAAATGGAAACCTTTTAAACGATTTCTTAATTCGTGCACTGTAACAAACAAATAAATGAAGCGCATGGCTTTTGTATTTCCTTTTCAAGTTATACACATTGGAACTTGTTGTGGTTGCACATACAATTTTGAAATGTGTAAAACAAAAACGCGCAATGCAAAAACAACGCATAAATTTATGGCAAAATCGAGACGTTCGACCTATTCTCTAAATAAATTTCAATACAATGATCGCCCGCATAATCACCATTATATATTAACTGCTTATGTGTGTGTACACACCATTGTTCAGTTGCCTCTCATTCTTTCATCGGCCATTTCTCGCTCATACGGCGAAAAGAAGAAGAAAAAAATCATTCTGGAATCAAAATCACGGTGTATATAAATTCGAAATGCAAAAATGAGCAGCCAGTGTTTGTCCTGAACATTATGCATCGAGCTCCAATTGAATTGACGATTGCTAATGGCTGAAAATATGAAATTGGACAAGAACGTTGTCTTTGTGTACAAAGAAAAGGAGGTCGAGCGCGTACTCGTTCGACTACGTAAAGGAAGTCAACTATTTATTCGTAATAAAATCAATAAATTCAATCTGTGGACCATTATTCATTCTGTACATGTGCTTATGCATCCAATTATTATTATTTTTTGTTTTGTTTTGTGATATTCTGCGCTTCTTTTGGAACTCACAATCGTATTGGTTTTGGTCGATGCCAAATTTTTGCAACGCTCACAAATCTTATGGGCTACAATGCCAAAATGATTGCATTTTTTTCTCTTTCATTTCGAATTGGTTGCAGATTGTTAATTTTTTGTTTGTTCATAAGTCTGTTTAATATTTGCCGCTCGGTGAAAAGAACGAGTAAAAAAATGAGAAAAAGAAAGAGAGAAGGAAAACAGATAGAGAATGTGAATGATATCGAAGAGCGCACGCGCTCAAGCTACTGCATTAAATTATGCATGTTCTATCCGTAGTTTTTAGTTGTTCTGTCATACACCGTACACGATATAGTATATGCGATGTATTATGTTACTGCCAGTGAGCAAGTACATGAAATTGAAATCTATATAAACAACATAAATTGATATCAAATCTGATAAATTCGACAATATGTATGAAAATTGAACACACGTTATCCATTTTGTATAAAGGTTTTGGGTACCTTCGATATGCAAACGGTGTACAGGTTAAAAATCACAAATACACAACATACACACAATACCAAGAAGAAATGAACGATGCCCACCAAATAGTATTTGGCAAATACACTGTTCGCTTGTGACGTCGAACATCATCTTTTTCTTTGTGCTTGTTTTGCTACATTGGTATTTGTTCATATCATGTTTTTATAAACGTTATCCCCCAAAACGACAAAATTCTATAGAATGCGCATAACGAACGTGATAAATAATAAATAAATCAATTTCATTGCACCGAAAGATCGCATGAATTGTTGAAATAACATAAAACAAAGGCTACCACACCAGACAATCACATATACATTTATGTTAATAATGTTTTTCTTTCTCTTTTGCTTTTGTGCACAACAACGAACCGGACAAATAAAGCCCCATTGAAAATACATGAGTATGTGTCTGGTTGCGAACAGAATGGTTTGCCACCTTAAATAAAATTATAACGAAAAAAGATAAATTAAGTTGGAAATTTGAATTGTATCTTTTACAACTTGCATACTACACAGGACATTTATACGAGTGGTTCAGAATAATAATGACATATGCCGATATCGCTTCTTTTATCTATACGTCTAGTAGCTATCCTGAGAGAGATAATTGTAAAATGTCTTAGTAAGACGTTTCACACCTATCTCTTTTGGTTAAGCTACGAGACGTATAGGTAGAAGAGTCAATATCGGCATAAGTCATTATTATTCTCAACCATTCATATAATAAAGATGCAATAAGCTATTTACTCGATAATAAAATGATTATATATATACAAAAAATGGCATATTTTCGGTGAACACTTCGGCAAGTCATTATCTGCTTAATCAATGGAATATTGAAGATGGAATATTTTTCGTTGACATTGCTACAGTAACCTTGACTACTGTGCACAAATATTTGGTATTTATGACGTTTTATTTTTATACAGTTCTTTCAAGACTGGTTTCATTTCAAGATTTATAGATGGTTCCAAAATGGATGGATTGGAAAATTGAAACAGAATAATTTATGATAAATTAAACAAAATTTGAAACACCAAAAAACACTTTCGAAACCTTTTTTTAGTTCATCGTTGTCTAATAAAAAATTCAAATTTATGTATTTTGACGAAATTTTTATTCGATTATTCCATCAATTTGTGACCATGTATATAGATTAAATATGTAGATAAAATGTGGTTGTGTCTTGATGAATTATTCGAAAGAACAAATTATTCAATAAATCTCACAACTTCAAATGAATATCAATTAAGATTGATGAAATTGCAATACAGCGCACCTCTTTTTATATTAGATAACAACTCAATAGTGATTAGAACCGTACGCGGAAGCGAGCAAATGTTCAAATATGTGTTTTTGGTCGCTTCCACGTACGATTAGAACCGCAATATTTATAGTATAATATAAATAGTGTAATTTTGGTACATTTTTATTTTGTGACATTCATTGGGTGTGTTAGCAATCAGAAACTGTGACTGTAGACATCAATGTGACTGTAGATAACTTTAAAAGTCAGAATGAAACTATCTTTTGGTCTACAATCTACATAGTCGCGCATAAAACACACTGTTATTTATTTCATAATATTTTATCCACCATTTTTATTTTCAAATAAAAAATTTAATGTTTTTATATTATGAGCTGAATACAACTTTCAATTAAAGAACGACAATCACGTAGTACAGGAGCTCAAAAGCAAAATAAGTAGTTTTTCTACTTCGACAATTAAATCAAACAAGAAAATAGTGGATTGATTTAAAAATCAATCTCAATGAAGCGGTAGATTTTCTGTCGTTGAACATAAATGGGCAGCATTATATGCTTTGAAATATAAAGAAAAAAGAAACAATGCTTTCAAGTGAGCACGGCATAACATCGTGATATGTATCTTATGGTGTGCAATCACTTGAGTATCTGGAGCAAAATTGGCACAATTATAAAACTGCTGCTAGCTTCATTTCTTGGTTCATACAATCAGCAATATCGCATCGATAGATCTAACACTTGAATCGTATGGGAGGCGTGGACAGCAAAAAAAAAAACAGAACAGAACACAGTACACAGTACACATTTAAACTGTCGTGTTAACTTCACTAAATGAGAAAAATTGCCATGGTATTTCATTTGGTTGGTCGTGCTACAAAATAAACGTCTTTTTTTGTTAAACATTGAAGTTAAGGTACGACTGAAAATAGCACAATTAAAAGAAAACCAGAAACTGAATAGAGAGATGGATAGATAGAATGAGACGAGAAATTAAGGAAAGAAAAAAAAATGCGTTTTACATTCAGTGTAGTGCGCGCAATGTGAACAAAAACGACAATCAACGTGAGAATTGATTTATTTTTCCATTGACTTTTGTTCCTTCTGGATTTTTATAATTTTTTATCAAAATGAAATGTTACGATTTCACTCATTTTTGTCTATTTTTCTCATAAATTCTTTTGCAGACATGGTTTTTCACCGACACCGACAACCAGTTCTTTCAACACAAAACAAGTAAGTAATTGAACCGACGCAACATACAGAAAAAATAGAAGAAAAATTAAAGAAATAAAAACATTGTAATATACGATTGAATAAAAAAAAAACAATGATCGTGATTCATGGTTTTGTTGTTGTTTCTTTCGTGGTGATTATATGGCTACTTCAAATCGCCGAACATTGGTTGTAACGTTAGGAAGAAGAGACAAAACGAACACAGAGAGAGAACGTTAAATTCAATATCAATTTTATTAGATGATTATATTGACGATTTATTAGGTTCTCATTCGATTTTGAAATCAACAAATCAATTGGTGCGGTATTTTTTCGGTTGTTTATTAGTGAAACAAGCGTGTCGAGTGGATGCCGGGCAGCATTTATGCGTTTATTATAGAAATTTCATTGACATTCGGCCACACTACAGAACTGTTTTAAAAGTCATCGTGATACATCTCTGAAATGTGAAGAAAGAAAAGAACAAATACAAGCCAAATGAAATTGTTTTATTTTTGACGTTGTCGACAGAATGCGCACGACACACAGAGAGAAATCACTCGATTCAAATGCAAAATAACAATTTGAAATACAAATAATCACACGGAAAAAGTGTATACATATAAAAAAAGATTGTTTTTTCCCTTTCGTCCACTCTTTATGTGGAATAATAAACACCCAATAAAATTTGGAATGAGAGCGGCAAGTAACAAATTAAAAATACAAACGAAATAGATGAAGAACAAACGAAGATGATACGCACTGATGAGATGCATAAAGAGAGTGTGAATGGTAAAGATGCGCGATGACCAAATTCAAATAAAAATAAATTACAACCCGAATCGAATTCGGAACATTGTTTTTATATTTCAGTCAAGGCTCATGATATATTCACGAGTTAATCTAATTTCCATGTTCCATTATACCATGTATGTGTGTGTTTTAATTTTGTGGGGGAGAAGCAAAATAAAAACCAACTCTTCGACTCAACGTTAAAATGATGACCGCAAAAGACAAAGGTGACTAAAAGGTTCCAATTCAACACTCGGACACACTACATCGCGCTAATTTATGGAAAACCAGATTGAAAAAGAAACAATTTTAAGACGAAATAGAGGATGAAAGTCTAAAAGTGAGGAAAAAAGACGTAAATAAATGTGAATATATGATCATCGAAAAAAAATGTGTTTATAGGCCATTGAATGTAACTACGCTCTTCACTCAGAACTCAACACATCCAATTAAATGCAACACAGAATATCATCATTTTGATTCATTTTATTAGTGCAGATAACAAAAAAAAAAACAGTTTTTTTACCTTATTTCAAAATTTTTAGCTTTGTGTGGCATTTACCACAAAAAAGCACTCTAGTAGAAACATGTATAAATTTGGTCTACAATATACTCGGATTCCATTAGAAGGAATCAAAACGATCGAAATGAAATGAAGAGAAACCCACCAGCGAAATAATCGGGAATTAAAAATTGCTTTAAAAGCAGTTTTATGGCTGATTAAATTCTCGCTGCCACTTTGGCCAATTCAGTTAGCTACAAAAATGGATTTGTGGTTTATTGATCTCCCTTCTGTCAAGGTGTGTTTTTGTAAGTGGCACACGCGTAACAGTTGACAAAAAGGCTCATAAAATTCGGCAAATTGCGGTAAAAAACTGAGAAAAACGAAAATTCTTCATTAAAAAAGAATTACCTTTCCGGTTTACCGACAATGGGTTTGTCCATGTTGTCACGCTAAAATTTTTGCCGTTAAAATCCGTCCGTTGCGTTGGTGCTATTGCACATCACACAAAGTTGAAACACACGAAATATTGTGTTCAAAGTGCAATAATAAAAAAATCGACGATACAATTAAAACGTGTGATATATACATTTCTCTCTTAATGTGTATCTTCGAAATACGATTCACCATAAAAATAAAATATTTACAACATATTCATTTTATTGATTTCGGTACGGCTACAATGTAGCCGCTACATATTACTCGCATCAGTAACAGATGCGAACGAATTTCAAAATAGCACCCAAAGTCCCAATAAAACTCTAAAAATTATACTTTTTCTTCTTAGAATTTACCGCTTTGTATGATCCAAGTATAAATCGAAGGCAAGTCATTATAAAATATAGCATTGACCAACCTGAATTTCTTTATTGAATAAAGTTTTGCAGCACACATTGAATAAAACTGTTGACTAAAGCGGACAATTTAAATGGTTGTTTTAAAACCATTGACTTTCAATGCGGAATTTTTTATGTTCTCATCGCATCACTGCAAAAAAAGAAAGAGCCAAAGAATGTGTATTCAGAATGCTCCCACTTTCCAAGCAGCCAATTTCAACCAAGCTAACTAAAGTTGCGCTAGCTACCCACAGCCATTTTGTTTGTGTGTGTGTGTGTGTCAGATATCAACATGTATATCGGTTAGTTAATTGCGGTTTCGGTATCCACATTGCAAAATAAAGTCATTAAAGCAATAACATGAATATTTATAAGGTTAACGGTTACTGTAACGCTGGATTATCAGAGCTCTTCTTATTGATTTATGAGCAGATGAGCACACATTATACAGACAGAGAATCATAGCTTGAATGAAGTAATTTCGAATTAATGCTCATTTCTGTTGGCTTGATTAAAGCCACAATAAAATATTAAAAAAAGAGTTTCAATATGTCGATTAATTTGCCATGACATGAATATTCAAGAATGATGATGCTGTGTACCTAAGTTTTGTAAAGTCCAACAGTTCGACGCTGTGACGCACACGGATGTCATTGTTTTGTATGGCTAATAAATTCGAATGAAATGTGAGCGCACAAGCCAATGACCAAACGCATTAACGATCGCATTGGCGCTATATTTTTTAATTTTTGGTAACGTTTTTTTAAAACTCTCGTTGCTTTACCCATACACTTTGTATATGTATTTTAGTTTTCAATACAAAATGTACGATTTGCTCACTCATTTTTAATAAAACGTCAACCCCTGTAGTGTCAAAAATAAGTTTGCATCAAAGAAGAGAGAGAGAGAGAGAGAGAGAGAGAGAGAGAGAGAGAGAGAGAGATAGAGAAAGTCAGGAGACTGCGTGGATTAAAAAAACGCATATGCCACATATTTTGAATATGAGAGAATATAAAATATGAATGTCAAGTCAAAAGAGCAACGAAAAACAACAACGACAACCTCTGGTTGAACTGGCACAGGGCACACGAGTAAATGCGGTGCATGCAAAGTATCACCATAAAGCAGCGGTCCAGCGAAATATTAATTTTGGAAATTATTTAACGACGAACGAACCAAGCAGAAAAAAGAAGAAACCATTTAGAATCACGGCACTGCACCAAAAAAATAACTTACCAAAAATTAATGAAGCATAAATGTTTTTCCACCGATCTTGATTCATATGCACGCAAGACATCGAACCATTTTCTCTCTTTTTTTTTTGTTCTTTCTGGTTTTGTTGGTTCCAACGAGATTTCTCCAAAAACTGGATGTGACCGCATGTCCGTGGCACTCTGTCTCTCAATTTAGTCAAACGCAATCTCCGCAGCGAAGAGAAAATAAACAAATACAAATACGATACCATATATACAAATAAGATTCATAATTCATAATTCGAAGAAACTAATAGCGACTAATACATTTTTTTAATCATGTGTCGTATATTTCCATTCTAGGCGGTCATTTAATCAACACAAACTGCTCCATGGGACATCTAAGAAAGGCATTGTGCTGTAAAATGTCCGTTGAATTCGACACCTTTCTCGAAAGCGGAAAGAAGTAAGTATATTTCATTTTTGTTAGTTATCTTTCCCATTTTTGCTTCTGATGGTCTTGCACATTTTCATTATTCGATTTTATCAAAAATATTTATCGTATCGATCATGCATACACATATGATGAGATCATTCGTTTTCGATCGTGAATCTTATATATTTTCTGACTATCTAGATAGCGTTTTCAGAATAGACATCAGATTAATGTTAGCGGTTAGCCGTCGAAAGTGATGTTTACAGCACCAGCCAAATAAAAAACTTTCGAAAACAAATTATGATCATATTATTTATATGTAGATGGTGTATGATACGAACGCTTACCATACGATACAATTCAATGCGATCATTTTCTATCGAAACGTGTACAAGTAGAACACGAGCAATAAAAGAAGCATATGAAAGCTCCAATCAAATCCAATATATTTGTCATTTTTCCATATCAAACTTTACGGTCGTTTTATTTTGCCGCTTCATCCTTTGGCCATATTCGTGCACATTCAAACGAAATTTAATAATATATGATTAAGTATTGAAAGCTACGCAATAGCAAGAATCTCGCGACACGATCGAAACCAAATATTTATAATTTATGTAAATTATCTAATTAAAGGTATACGTTCTTTCTCGACTGTTGCAAAGATTGTGTTAGTTGTTTTTTCTTCATAATTTCCATTCCATTTGGTAATACATGTTTTGCTTCGATTCCATTTCAAAATTTTTGTCAATCGCCAGATAAAAGGAAGATGTGCCATCAAAAATGTTACCGGTGATTTCTTTTTTTGGCAAGCACAAACACTTCGAAAAAAAACAGAAATACACACTAAAGCAACAGTAATTCCGTTACAGGAATTCAACCCATTTGATTTTTTCCACTCTTTTTTTTGCTTCATCTCGCTTTATAATTGATTATAACATTTTTGATCAACCTGAAACCAGAGACACAGCATATATCATTTTAAATCTCTAAATATATGAATCGATAACCATTAATTTTTAGGCGTTTGTTGATTGCTTTTTTGGTTAACTTTCTCTGATATGTTCGGCATTTTTCTGCCTTCTTTCGAAACACCAGGCAAATGAAACAAAAATATTCAAAATAGCGCTTGGAATAAAGCAAAATCCGAAAAAAATGTCATTGCCATCTAACCAAATATAACATCATAAAGATATTTTAAAAGCGAAAATTTGCCAATTTTTTTAGATCAATTTCAGAATGTAACAAACAACAGTCAAGCACATTAAACTGTTGTATTTCGGTTTTATCGCATAATTGTTTGCTTTGTTGACCACGATCATCTATTGAAAAACGATCGGACCGTGTAGTTTTGTAATTTAAAATGTGAGCCTTTCATCATGCCGCATATCCCAATTGTGAACGGATTACAACTTCCGAATAAGCATATTTTCATTTTCTGAGTTATAAACATTTTATTAGACTAATCGAGCGATCATATGTCATAAAGATTACGACGTTTTTTTTAGTTCAGAATTAATTTATTGAATTTATAATTTTCAAATTGGAAATGAAATAGTAAGAAAAGGAGGGATCTATATGTATATTTCATTCATTTGAATTTTTCCGAGAAAAAAAGAGAAACGAGTTATTCTGAAACGCGTTTTTGTTGCTTGTATTAATAGTTAGACTTTTGATTGCATTTGAGAAAAATGCAAATTTCCATTCAATTTATATGATAATTTAAAATGTTTGAATTTTCAACTATGATCAAAATTTTAAAACCAATCATCATCAGAAATAAAAACGATGAACCATTTTCGGAGCCATTCACATGACTCAACGTAATTCATGGTCTGCGGAAAACAATGATCATTATGAAGAATTACTTGCAAGAATTCCAAAAAAAAACGTCTCTTTTTCTCACACATATGATTTTGAAATTTGGTCCGATTCATTGATAGTCATAGAACAATTAAATAGAATGAGAGGAGCACACTGGTCGAATGTCGATCATAAAAAAAAGAATAAATGACCAACAAAGAAAAAGTGAGTAAAAAGTGCTTATTAAATAACTCAATACCGTACAGACTATACAAATTCCCATAGGTTATGTGCCGGATGACGTTTGCTCATCTCAACGTGTGCGCACACACATTTCAATCAAAAATCATATAGATTCATTTATGAGATAATTAAAGAAATCAAACAAAATACATAATAATGTGTAATTATACCGACAGTTGAACATTTTCAACGATTTGTTCCTCCCTTTTTGGAAACACATACACAGTTTTTTTATTGTTGTTAGATTAACAGCCGAACTAATCACATTGAACATTGTAATGACTATCAATGCGATGATAGGTCTCATTCCTTACATTTCTATTCTCTCTGATTCTTCGTTCTCATTCATTCAAGTCATATGTGCTCATATGCCATTAGATCTGATCTCAGTCAATTGTTTTTATCTAACATTTAAATTAGCATGTGCATTGTTGATCACCAAATTAGTTAATCATTCGTTCGTACTGAAATCGTTTGTTTTTTTTTTCGGTCAAATGTGTTGAATGAAAAAGATCATTTATCACCTACATACCCTCTCAACATACACATATATATACTCTTTTTGGTTGTATGAAGTTTAGCCCGTAAACACGTTGTGTGACATGAAACGAAGCCGATGTTGATTCAGTATATGTATTGGTGCGGAAATATTATTCATACACGGGCGAGAATGTGTGATTGCAAATATCGTTGGGCAAATCCATTTTTATGCATTTACAAAAGTGGATACAATATGGTTCGTGGCATGAATGCGGTTTCCATTGTAAATAATTAATAAACAGTAACACAATAATAAGAATAATAACGACAAACAGCATAAACAATGGAGGAACAATGACAAAACGAGTGAACGCACTCGACAGACGAGTGGCCCAAAAAATATACATATTTTGAATAAGATTAAAGTCCATTGTTATGGATTTGTTTGTGTATGTACTCAATCGATCTGTCCGCAATTTAAGCTATTAACTCTGTCTCCCTTGGTAGATCTACAAATCTTTGTATTTATTAA